TTCTGGTTACTGGCGTGGCTCCGTTGTCAAAGCCAGTTGACCTGCAGTGAAACTGGCTGAAAGTCGCCGAACTCAATATAGCATCCTTCACTAATTTATGCATCACTTGTTGAGCATTCAGCTAAATATTAAATCCCAGCCTACATATCAACAAGGTTATGCAGATGTCTGCTCATGAAACAGACAGTGGCCCAGCGTTAATAGCATGCCGGTCTTCCATGGACGTATTATTTCACATCAGACAGCATACAATCCTGAACCAGACTTCTCATACATGTTGCTACATCTAATCACCACTGCTCTATTTCTTCCATTCCTCGGGATTGTAAGAGGGCGGTGGGCGTGGCACAATGCTCTTCTTCCACGCGCGGTCCGCCTTTCGCGACTCCCTCTTCCCAACGCCCTGCTCCAACTCCCTCTCCCTCCTCACAGTCAGCATCCGTGCGATCTGCCAGAGACAGAAAAGTGATACAAATGGGACAATTTTGAAACCAGCATACGAAGAAGCACTCTATATGGCATGTCCTGCCATGAGACAACTCCACAATATCTGTGCATGAGCAATTTCCAGAGCCACCTCAGTGAAGCTGGCAACATAGCCGCCCATACCAGCCCATAAGTAATAACCCATCCATTGTCCACAGTACGTCCGTCCCACAGTGCATCGCACAGTAACTCAATCTCCCCCCTAGTAATGAGCTCGTGCCCATGAGCCTGCGCCGATGGGCCTGCACGGATGGGCCGGTGCGCAGACCACCTATTCCTTCCCTCGCTTTCTTCGCCTGAGCCCTTTTCCCTCCTCAATCTCCGCTGTCCTCATCCCACGGATTTCCCCAACCGCACTCTTCGCCTTTCTTCTCCCTCCTACCGCCAGCTCTCGACCCCTCCCAAGCTCCATCGCTTGCCACCCCTCGTCCATTCATCGTTCCCCTCTCCCCTTCATCTGCAGACTTTCCAACCCGTTCCCACTACCCCCCTTCCACCATTCCCCCCTTCCATCCCCATGTCCCCCCTTCCCCCCTTCCCTCCCTATTTTCCTCACCCGTGTTCCCCCCACCCAAAATCTCCCGGAAGATTCTTACCCGCTTGTGGATGCGGCCGAACTCGCTGGGCTTGAACTCGAGGCGCGTGGCCTGCTTGGCGCGCAGCAGGAAGAGCTCGCCCTTGAGGTCCACCACCGCCTGCTCGATCTCCGCCGTCCCCATCCCGCGGATCCCCCGCTCCCCACTCTCCGCCCATTTTCCGCCGCTGCCTCCACCTCTCACTCCCTGCCCCGCTAGTCCCTTGCTACCCTTCTCCCCTTCACCTGTTGCCCTTTCCCCCACCCGCAAATTCCGAGAAGCTTCTCACCCGCTTGTGGATGCGGCCGAACTCGCTGGGCTTGAACTCGAGGCGCGTGGCCTGCTTGGCGCGCAGCAGGAAGAGCTCGCCCTTGAGGTCCACCACCGCCTGCTCGATCTCCGCCGTCCCCATCCCGCGGATCTCCGCCAGCTCCTCCTGCTTCTTCACCGCGCTCACGCGCACCGCGCCGCCGGATGCGGCGCGAGACGCGGAGGTGCTGGAGCAGGCGAGGGACGGGAGCGAGAGGCGCTGGCTGCTGACGTGGCAGCTACGGGAGCTGGATAGGTTTGCCAGCCTGGCAGCCTGGGGAGGGAGCAAGTGGGGGTGGATGGGTGGATGGGTGGGGGGAAGAGGGGAAAGAACGTGAGGAGACCAGAAGGTATAAAGAAGTGGCTGCGGTGTTAGATGAGTGAGGCGTGAATACGTGATATTCGCAAAAAGGAGGGGGCTGGGATAGAAGCGGGAGCGGGATTCGAGAGCAGCCGAAGGGACCAGTATACGCCAGCAAGGGGGATGAACGTTCCTCATCACCCGTACTGAGAAGTAAGCTGAGACCGAGGGCATATCGGCAACTCAACACCGCTGGTGCTCAAGTTAGTGTTGTGGTCCGACGCGCTGACGACAAACTCGTTTAGAATCTGTACGATTGAGGCATCTCTACAGTATACTTTACGCACGCTCTGTTATGTTGTGATCCGGCAGTCGGAGACTCGCTAAACCCTGCATAATTCACCACTGGACGAGGAAGCGGTCCTAATCAGAGAGCTTTGCGACTACTGCAAACGACTCGTTGTAACGAATGCAACGAGATTCCGAAGTCAGAAAACTAAGGGAAACCCTAAAAAACGAGGTATCGACCAGACATCGTGCGAGCCGGAAAAGACAGGGAAGAACCGGAGATGGACTAGCGTAACCGTTAACCTGCACCAAATGATGACAATGCACTCGCGTCAGAAACTTTTTTATCTGTGAAAACAATCAAGGCTTCACAATGGAGCTAAGGAGGTTTCACAGCGAAACCACGATGGCCAAATGCTGATGGCATTAGCGAAGCACGAGCGCATTCTTTCTAGCCGTGCTCCCTCACCGTGCAGGCTGAGGCTTGCTGCAAGCAGGAAAGCGACGAGGACGCCATGGCTCCGCGCGACGATCAAACCACGCGCAGTTTAGGTTGACCAAAATAAGTTCCTGCTTCCTAAGCAGCTGAAGGTCACAAGTAGATGGGTGGGCTGCGAATGGAGGAACTAGAGGCAAGGCCAGGTCTCACAACAGCAGGGGTTGTCTACAACATAAAAACGGTTGACTCTGGTTTAGAATCGGTTCACAACGGTACGAAAAAGAACCAGCCTGGTCGGGATGGATTGATGAGATGCTGACGTGGAACGAGAAAACGTGGAGCTAGGCTGGGAGCATCCTCCATATTGTAGGTGTCTATAGCAGAATTCGTAATGTTCAAACTAGACGGAGGCTACCGTATGTTCAGTTGGCAGGTAATTTGGAACACTTTGATGAATATTCCGGGTCGAGCTTTGGTAACCAGCTAATCCTAAAATCGGAGAGCCTTCTACAGGAGGAAGCGGGTCATTCGAAGGGAGCATTCATGGACATGGAAGTTTGACAACGACCTATGTCAACAGGCTGGATGAGATGAGTGGAGAAAACACCCGTATTGTACAGCTCATTCGATGAACACGTACTGAACACAAAATAAACTTCCGAGATTTGATGTTCCAAATCGAACAGCTGCTGCACTGTTGCCAGGGGAACTGCCACGTTGCCACCAATTGCCACCAGGTGCCACCATTTGGGAGTGCGGGACAACTTCGTGAAATCTTCCACACCACACTAGACTTTTTGCAACAATATTCAGCTGTTGCCGCCAAGGTCAGGACAGGAACAAATTCTGTGTGCATTTCCGGGTCTAGTTTTATGGACAAATGATAGAATGAACTACCTTTTGATCGGAAAACCGTGGCAGGTGCCGGTTTTCGAGGTGTACGGAACCCGCCCTGACACCTCCAATTTTCTGTCTGACACCAGAGCGGGAACCCTCTGTTCATACCAAGCTGAATTTGAGGAAATGTGAATGATTGGAAGCAATTATTTTCAGCCTTGTCTACAGTGCGTTGCGACCACCACAGACCACACGTGTCCAAACTTCGGAAGGTGCGGAGAACAAAAGTACAGTAACTTGCATTGGGGACTGCCCAGACCAACAAAAAGACAAAACTACTGGTTTGGCCATAGCGCAGTCCATCCTTCGCTTCCATCTCCCCCTCGTTCCCGCCAACGAACTGACTGCACAACTGTACTGTACTGTTCAGACTTTTTAGGGACAGGTAAAAGAACAGAACAGAAAGGTAGGTGGGTTTCTTGCTCTACTGTACAAAAATAGGTCTGCTGCCAAGCTCTGCTCTGCTGCTGCCTACGTTCCTCGGCATCCCTCGTTTCCTTGACATCTCTTCGTTCCCCGCTCTCGCTCTCCGCGTCCAGCCGCCTGCATTTCGATTCTCGTCGCACCACCGCGTTTCATTCTCCCGTCCTGAGTCGATCCGAAGCTCCCATTCCGAAGCTTCCCATCCCGAAGCTCGCACACCGAAACTCGCACTCCTAGCTTGCACTCCGAAACTCGCACCCCGAAGCTCGCACTCCGAAGCTCGCATTCCGAAGCTCGCACTCCGAAGCTCTCGTTCCGAAGCTCGCACCCCGAAGCGCACTCCGAAGCTCGCACTCCGTAGCTCGCACTCCGAAGCTCTCGTTCCGAAGCTCGCACTCCGAAGCGCACTCCGAAGCTCGCACTCCGTAGCTTGCACTCCGAAGCTCGCGCTCCGAGCTCGCATTCCGCCTCGCAAGTGACACAGCCGCGTCGCCCGTAGTACTAGCCACGGATTCGACACAATGGAAAGTGACGTAGTGAGAGCGTGACGTAGTTCAAGAGTGACACTATGGGGAGTGACGCTATAGGGGGTGAAGTCATGGGTAGCAGTAGCAGGAGTGACGTAGGAGGGAGTGACGTAACAGGGAGTGTTACAAACGGAGGCCTTTCCCAGCGTGCTTCAGGCCGGCAATGGCGGAGACGGCAGCGGCAGGAGCGGCTATGGTGTATTTTCGTGCTCGTGCTTCTCTTGCTCGCGCCGACAGTACAGTACCATCGCCAGCACCCTCAGCAGCTGCAGCACCAGCGGCAGCAGCAGCGCATGCAGCAGTATTACTCCGGCGCAATGGCTTCTTGGGGCACTCGCGTGTTTCCCCCAGACTGTGAGTCGCGGGTGTTTTCAGATTTTAGTCCGCGTAGTGGAAACAGTTCGCAGGTGTTTTCACATTTAGACCCCCTGTAAGGAGACGATTTTGTCCCTCGACTCAAAAGCAGCAGCAGCAGCGCCTGCAGCGGGTTTCGCACGGTTCGTTTTGAACGGTGTGCGACGCGCAGGCTGGAGCTTCGTATGGGTGGGTGGGTGGGGATGCACGGTTTGTAACGTACGGTTCGTAAAGCGGCGGCGCAGGTTGTGCGTACGGGCTGTAGCAGCGTAGAAGTTGGTAAATGACACGCTGTAGCATGTAGTCGTAGATTCTCGTTCTCAGAATCTCGACCGTTGATTCGCGGAGTGCAGCTCCCGTCAACCCTAATCGCAGCCCCACGGCTGGACCCGAAGAGTAGCATGCGTGCATTATCCCACGCGCTTCCCACCCCTCGCTCCCCCCCCACCCCGCCTTCCTCTCCCACCCTCTCCCCCGCTTTTCCTCCCGCTCCTCCCTCCCGCTCCCCTCCCTCTTTCTCTCCCCTGCCTTTTCCCCCATCCTCCTCTCACCCCACCACACCCAACAACGGCAAGCCCTGGTGGCTCTGAGGGAACCCTTCTGTTCATTGTGAACCCTAGCCGCAGCCCGGAGGCGTGCCAGACTGGGGCACGAATCGGTTAGCACATATTCTCAGTCTCCAATGATCGGTTAGCCGAACCCTCCACCCCCGTTAGAACAGGAACTCACCTCCCTGTTCATTGTGAACCCTAGCCGCAGCCCGAAGGCGTTCCAGACTGGAACACGGATCGATTAGCACAGATTCTCACCCTCCACCCCCTTCCCGAATGTCCTAGGATCGGTCAGAACAGGGACTCATCTCCCTGTTCAATGTGAACCCGTTTCCGACTGCACTGCACCCCTCACTCATCTCCTTCTCCCCTCCTCGACCCCCTTCCCGAATGCTCCCTCCCCTCCTCTCCCCTCCTCTCCCCTCCCCCTCACGCCCCCTCCCCACCACACGCAAGCAGGGAAAGCGCTGGTGACTCTGAGGGACCAGCTGACCTTCGTGAACCCTACCCGCAGCCCCAAGGCGTTCTGGAAGAGCGCGGAGAACTGCGAGGCGTTATATGGTGTCGTGTGCGACGTCAACGGTTACGTCACCGCGCTGTGAGTGGGGTGTATGCTTTGTGGTAGCAGCGGGTCATGCGGGGCTCTATGGGGTGGTCTGCGACGTCAACGGCTACGTCACCGCGCTGTGAGTCCTTTTTCTGTGACTGCAAGTTACCGCGCTGTGAGAGTGTCAACAGGCAAACCTGGTCCGGCCGTGTTATCGAGCCCTACCCGCAGGGCCGCAGCCCCAAGGCGTTCTGGAAGAGCGTGGAGAACTGCGAGGCTCTATATGGGGTGGTCTGCGACGTCATCGGTTACGTCACCGCGCTGTGAGTGGCAACACAGATGAGACGTCTCAAAACAAACGTATCTTCAAGTAGTGCGGCCGGCCCTCCTCCTCACAGCACCCCAGAGGGGGGAGGAGGGCCGGCTCTTTCCAAGAGATCAATGGTGGGGGGATTCCGATTCGAGTCAACGTGTGAGGCTCTTTTCCTCTCCTCATCTCATCTCCCCCTTCACCACCCCTTTCACTGCTCCCCTCCGCTCCCGTCCGCTCCCCTCTCCACTGCAGCACCCTAGTGGGAGTGGTGGGGCCACTACCAGACGCCATAGGGAACCTTCCTTCACTCTCCTTCCTGTAAGCTTCTCCGTCACTGCTCCGCTCTGCCCCCCTGCTCTGTACCCTCTGCTTTTCATTCGCTTCCTTCAAGAATCAGCTGCATTTCGAAGTCATTCAGTTCAGCTATGTTGGCCGACTTTTGCTAGTTTTGAGTCGACCAAAAACTACGCATTTCGAAGTCATTCAGCTATATTGACCATCTTCTTATGCTTCTCCTCCGCTGTTCCACATCCCCTTTGTAAGCAGATCCATTGTCAGCAACCTGACGAGCCTTCCCTCCACCCTTGTTCAGCTCAGCTCCACACTCACGGCTCTGTACGCCCTCTTCCCCTCGTCACCCTCACACACACTGTAATTCACTCTCTCACGCACTCACTCGCTCACTCACTCATCATGTGTTTCCCTATATCACGGCCCTTTACTCTACTCTTGCACAGCTCAACATGTGCCTGTCCCCTCTCTGACACCATTCCTACTCTTGTGACTCTCCTGCACTCCACCGCAGCCATTTGGGCTTTAACAACCTAGCTGGAACCTTCCCTTCCGTTGCGTTGCGGCTGTTGCAACTGCGCACACTGTAAGACGGGCTGCTCTCTGCTCTGCTGCATGGCACCAGCACTTGCATGGTACCTTGCTGTCGTTCCCTCGAAAGCGGCCTAGGCATGTCATTCCCTTCTGCTGTGACTAGGATGTTGCAACTGCGCACACTGTAAGACGGGCTGCTCTCTGCTCTGCTGCATGGCACCAGCACCTGCATGGCACTGGCACTTGCTGTCATTCCCTCTGAAGATGCCTAGGAGGCATGGCATTCCCTTCCGCTGTGTAGTCACACAGACTGCCTAGGCTGCTGCACCTGCGCACACTGTAAGATGGGCTGCTCTGCTGCATGGCACTGGTATGGGATTGGCATGGGACTGGCACCTCACTTGCGTGGCATTGACATGCTGTTTTGTTTAGTCGACTCAAAGGTCACTTTGCTTGGCGGCATTTGCACGGCATTTGCATGGCTTTTTAAGGCGCCTTTAAATATCGGCATTTGCACCGCGTCTGCATGGAATTCGCAGACCATTTACGTGGGTTGGTGTCTTCCCTTACCCCCCAATCCGGCTCAAACCATCTCACAGGGAGCATACCCACTGGCCTCCCCATTTTCTCTTGCATTCATTACACATTCTCCTCTCTTTCCCTTTCCTGTTCTCCTTTTACTCTCTGCTGCCCCTCATCCCCCAGCAATCTCGCTCAGAACCAGCTTACAGGAAACATCCCCACTGGCCTCGCAAGACTTTCCCGCCTGGCTTTCCTGTAAGTACCCGTGCCAAGCCGTGCCATCATGCCATGCCATGCCATCCCATGCCATGCCATGCCTTGTTTCAAATGTGTGTGAGCTGCATCTGTGAGAGGACTTATGCTTTCCTAACCCTTCTCCCTTCTCTCATCCCTCCCCTCCTGCGCAGCCGTTTGGATGGCAATCAGTTTACAGGCCCCATTCCCTCGCAGCTCTACTCCCTCACCAACATCTCTTACCTGTTCGTAACTAGTCTTCTCATCCCTGTCTCTTCCCCAACTGCTTTCAGTACCATCTCAAGCCTTCATTCCCTCGCATCTCTACTCAGTTTGTTCCACCCTTCCCTCCCTTCCACTCTGTTCAATCATTCGATCTCTGTCGAGAGACCTTCCGAGAAGTCTCAAGCCCCATGCCCTCGCAGCTATAGTACTTGTTTGTACCTTTTGGAGCGCCTTATAAAAAACTCACGTCATCTCTCCCCTCTCCTCTCCTCTCCTCTCCTCTCCTCTCCTCTCCTCTCCTCTCCTCTCCTCTCCTCTCCTCTCCTCTCCTCTCCTCTCCTCTCCTCTCCTCTCCTCTCTTCTCATTTCCTCCTCTCTCTCTCCCCCTGCCCTCCAGCTCTCTCCGTTCCAACCGTCTCTCTGGCAGCATTGCACCGCAAGTGTCTAATTTTAAGGCCCTGCAACTGCTGTGAGTTGCCTTAAAGCCCGAGTCTCAACTTATCGCCTGCAGCTGGTGCTGTGAGATAGCAGATGCGGATCTATTCCAATTTGCAGCAGCTGTGCCTTATTGATGTAGGCAATGTTATACAGAAGCCACAGCTGCTACGAACCCCAGTTGCTTCTAGAATCCCAGGGACCACATTGTGTGTCGTTCAGGGACCACATTGTGTGTCATTCAGGGACCACATTGTGTGTCATTCAGGGACCACATTGTGTGTCATTCAGGGACCACGTTGTGTGTCGTTCAGGGACCACATAGTGTGTCGTTCCCTGTCATTCCTTGTGAAAAAGGGCCAAGCGATTCAGATGCCGACGCAGCACACATGTCATGTCTATATTACATGTGCTTGTTGTACGTGCTTTGCGGTGCTATGTTCGCATGTCATGCTGGCATGTGATGGCACGGCATGGCATGGCACGGCATGGCATGGGATGGCATCGCATGGCATGACAGGGATTTGAGAGACAACATGCTGACGTCATCCATCCCATCCACCCTGCCTGCATGTGTCAAGCTCTTCTGGCTGTAAGTGGAGGTTGAGTTGAGAAGCAGGCTGGAAATGAGGCCGAATCTGAGGCTACTCTTGAGAGGATTTTTTAGGCGCCTAAAAAATCATCCCATCCACCCTGCCTGCATGTTTCAAGCTCTTCTGGCTGTAAGTGGAGGTTGAGTTGAGAAGCAGGCTGGAAATGAGGCCGAATCTGAGGCTACTCTTGAGAGGATTTTTTAGGCGCCTAAAAAATCATCCCATCCACCCTGCCTGCATGCGTCAAGCTCTTCTGGCTGTAAGTGGAGGTTAAAAATGAGACTAGCTGGTTTTGGAAAAAACTCCTTAAAAGCTGACTACTCTTAGTGGAGGCTTAAAACGAGAAGACTCACTCACGTGAGTTGCCTCAAATGAAAGCAAGCACGTTCATTCCACCACCTCTTCTCCGTCCCTCCCTCGTTCATTTTTTCAACCCTTCACAATAAGGCTGTTGCCTCCATTCCAGCCGATTTCTCATTCGACTCAGGAATAAACAGATCACCACCTTTCCTTTCCTCCTTTCCACTGCTTCCCTTGTTGCCTTCCTTGTCGCCCCATATGAGCTAACAATCGCATTTTGGCCTATCGTCATCCCTCTCTATTCTCACCCCTCTCAGCTATTGTCCTTCTTTCCCTCTGTCCCCATCGTCCCTGCCAGCTATCTGAGCAACAATCGACTCACGGGTTCAATTCCTGCCGCCATCGGCAAACTATCCAGGCTTAGATTCCTGTGAGTCATCTGATACATGTTAAAGCCTCTTTGTTTGATTCACCTTTTCGCTTCTTCTTTCTTTGTTTCTTCCACCATATGCCTAGATTGGATTGGGGCAGCCACCGCTGCGTTACAATCCGGAACTTTTGAGACGTGGGGGGTCCACGTGTAAACAGAGTTGTTTTGAGAAGTTAGTCCACGTGGGTCTCAAAACAAATTTTGGGAAGTGGGGGTCCTCTCCTTACAATCTTTACATAGGTGGGCAGCCACCGCTGCGTCCTCAAAAGTCAATCCAGAACTTTCTTTCTTGTCACCCTCCCCCCCCCACTCCCCCTCCTTTCCCCTTCCTTTCCCCTTCCTTTCCCCTTCCTTTCCCCTTCCTATCCCCTTCCTTTCCCTTTAAACCCCTACCCTGCTCCCCACTCTTCCTCCCACGACCCCTTCCCTACCCGCCGAACCTCACTCACTCTCCCTCTCCTCCTCACTCGCCCATCCCCCCCTCTGAAAGAAACTAGGAGCTATGGAAACTTGAGGAAGAATTGTTGACATTAGCTCAAGAGAGCACAAGGTTATACAAGGAAGAGAAGGTTGGAGAGGAACACCAAACCTAGCACATAAGACACCAAGACCAAGTAGGCTAGTGGGAGGAAGGACCATCCAACCAACCCTAGTGGGGTGGTGGCCAACCAACCAAAGTTGGTTGCCCCACTTGGCCAACAAGGTTGGAGCCAAGTCTAAGCTAGGATATTTGGGTTCACCCCAATTAGGGTGTCTACCTGCAGTACACCCAAAACTAGAGCCTAAACCAACCCAACTGTTCACCACTCTTGGTGTACAGTCACAAGTGTTCGCATGCTATATTATATAGATTCTAACACCCTCACCCTTCCTGCTTCAGGCTAATAGATTCCAACCGCCTCTCTTTCACTATGCCTGCATCCTCCTCTGCTCTCCCCTGCCCTCCTGCCGCTTGCTCTCTTTCCCTTCCATCCCCCCCTCACCCACCCTGCTGCAGACTACTAGATTCCAACCGCCTCTCTTTCACTATGCCTGCCTCCCTCTCTGCTGCGTTTTTAGTCGACTCAAATCACCTCTCCTTGTCTCACTCTACCATCACCCCTCACCCACCCTGCTGCAGACTACTTGATTCCATTTTTGAGTCGACTAAAAAATCCCCTCACCCACCCTGCTGCAGACCACTTAATTCCAAGAATCCAACCACCTCTCTTCAGATGTCTCAAAACTTGCGTCTCCCTTCCATCTTCCCCTCACCCACCCTGCTGCAGGCTGATAGATTCTAACCGCCTCTCTTCATCTCTGCCTGCCTCCCTCTCTGCTCTCTCCCTGCTCTCCCACCTGTGAGTACTGCCCTCGGTTCAGGGCGGTGCAGTTGGGCTAAGAGCTCTGTTCCGCTTCCCTGCCGTTTTTCCCATGCCAGTACTGCCAGCAAATATCGCCTTCAATGTCACCTCCTCTTCCTCCTCTTCCTCCTCTTCCTCCTCTTCCTCCTCTTCCTCCTCTTCCTCCTCTTCCTCCTCTTCCTCCTCTTCCTCCTCTTCCTCCTCTTCCTCCTCTTCCTCCTCTTCCTCCTCTTCCTCCTCTTCCTCCTCTTCCTCCTCTTCCTCCTCTTCCTCCTCTTCCTCCTCTTCCTCCTCTTCCTCCTCTTCCTCCTCTTCCTCCTCTTCCTCCTCTTCCTCCTCTTCCTCCTCTTCCTCCTCTTCCTCCTCTTCCTCCTCTTCCTCCTCTTCCTCCTCTTCCTCCTCTTCCTCCTCTTCCTCCTCTTCCTCCTCTTCCTCCTCTTCCTCCTCTTCCTCCTCTTCCTCCTCTTCCTCCTCTTCCTCCTCTTCCTCCTCTTCCTCCTCTTCCTCCTCTTCCTCCTCTTCCTCCTCTTCCTCCTCTTCCTCCTCTTCCTCCTCTTCCTCCTCTTCCTCCTCTTCCTTCTCTTCACCATTCCCCCTCCTCTTTCCTGCCCTCATCCCGCATGCACCAATCTCAGCAGCAACACTCACCCGAATCGCACCCCTCTCTGCCCCTCTCTGCCCCTCTCTGCCCCTCTCTGCCCCTCTCTGCCCCTCTCTGCCCCTCTTCCGGGGTCTCTGCTCCTGTACCCTTCTCCTGAACTCCCATCCCTCACACAGCGATGCCAGCAACTACACTCTCACTGGCCCATCCCACCCTCAGCACCCTCACTGCCTGCCCCTCTCTGCCTTTCTCCATCCCTCTCCACCCGTCTCCGTTCCATTCTCTTCCCCTTCCTTCCCCTTCCTACCCCTTCCCCCACACCAGCAATGCCAGCAACTACCCTCTCACCGGCCCCATCCCTCCCACCCTCAGCACGCTCTCTGCCCCTCACTGCCGCTCTCCACCCCTCTCCACCCCTCTCCACCCCTCTCCCTTCTTTCTCCTGTCCCCTTCCCTCACACCAGCGATGCCAGCAACAACACTCTCACCGGCCCCATTTCTCCCGGCCTCAGCACCCTCACTGCCCTTCTCTGCCTCCCTCCACCCCTCTCCATCCCTCTCCACCCCTCACACCAGCGATGCCAGCAACAACACTCTCACCGGCCCCATCCCTCCCGGCCTCAGCACCCTCACTGCCCTTCTCTGGCTCCCTCCACCCCTCTCCATCCCTCTCCATCCCTCTCCACCCCTCACACCAGCGATGCCAGCAACAACACTCTCACCGGCCCCATCCCTCCCGGCCTCAGCACCCTCACTGCCCTTCTCTGCCTCCCTCCACCCCTCTCCATCCCTCTCCACCCCTCACACCAGCGATGCCAGCAACAACACTCTCACCGGCCCCATCCCTCCCGGCCTCAGCACCCTCACTGCCCTTCTCTGCCTCCCTCCACCCCTCTCCATCCCTCTCCACCCCTCACACCAGCGATGCCAGCAACAACACTCTCACTGGCCCCATCCCTCCCGGCCTCAGCACCCTCACTGCCCTTCTCTGCCTCCCTCCACCCCTCTCCATCCCTCTCCACCCCTCACACCAGCGATGCCAGCAACAATACTCTCACCGGCCCCATCCCTCCCGGCCTTGGCGAGCTCTCCTACCTCGCTTATCTGTAAGCCCCTCATTGCACCGCACCACACTGCATCCCTCTTAACCGCTCTTGGTGGACTCTCCTACCTCGCCTATCTGTAAGCCTTCCTACCGTCTTCTCCCTTGCCATTTCTAGCCATGTCTCGCCATGTCTCTGCCGTAACCTCCCTGCCATGTCTTTTGAGACGTCAAGCAGGCAGGAAGCAACTACGCACTCTCCCACCTCACCCATCCCTCATGACTCTCCTACCTTGCCTATCTGTTCTGTAAACCCCTCTAATCAAACTCGCTTCACCGCACTGAATCCCTCTTCACCACCCTCGGACCTCTCCTACCTCGCCTACATGTTGAGCTCTCTACCATGCCTTTTCTTTCACCGAGCTCGTTGCACCGCACTGCATCTCTCTTCACCACCCTCGGAAATCTCTCCTACCTCGCCTACCTGTAAGCCTCCCTGCCTTACCCTCCCTGCCATACCCTCCCTGCCATACCCTCCTCCCTTCCTTTCTCCTCTCGCAACAACACCCTCTCTGCACCCTCTCCTACTACCTCGCCTACCTGTGAGCCAATCTAACCGAACTCGCTTCACCGCACTGCATCCCTCTTCACCACCCTCTCGGCACCCTCTCCTACCTCGCCTGCCTGTAAGACCCTCTGCCATCCCTTTTGAGACGTCTCGAACCAAACTCACTGCACCGCACTGCAACCGTCTTCACCACCCTCGGCACCCTTTCGTACCTAGCCTGTCTGTAAACCTCCATGCCGCCTTCTCCCTTACCTGTTTCCTTGGTCTCTTGAGACGCCGCCGCAAGTCTCGTTTCCCTGCACTGCTCTCCCTTTCCCGCCCTTCTCTCCCACTCCTTTGCATCCCTGTCCCCGCCCTTTATTTCATTGTCCCCTCCCCCTCATCCAGCCAGTTGGATCAGAACAACCACTTCTTTCAGAACAGCTAGAAGTGTCTCCACTTCTTATCCAAGAAGTGTCCCAGCCAGTTTCGAGAAGTGTAGGATGAGGGGGGGGAGACGTCTCAACTGTCGCTTCTTGAGACGTCTCAAGACTACACTTGTTTCACGTGGCATTTCATTCCGTCCCCTCCACTCCACCTCATCTAGCCAGTTGGATCAAGTGATACGAGAGCCCGTTTGTGGGAATTCTCCAACGAGAATTCTCATCTCAAGAGCAGTCTTGTGGCCGAGAATCTAAGGAGGTGACTTTTGAGTCGACTCAAAAGTCATCTCAAGAACAATCTTGTGGCTGAGAATCCAAGACCCCATCCACCTTGGCCACAAGGATGTTCTTGAGATGAAAATTCTCGTCTCAGGACTTAAGCAAAAGGATCAGGACTTGCACCACTCAGAATTCTCATCTCAAGAACAATCTTGTGGCTGAGAATCCAAGACCCCATCCACCTTGGCCACAAGGATGTTCTTGAGATGAAAATTCTCGTCTCAGGACTTAAGCAAAAGGATCAGGACTTGCACCACTCAGAATTCTCATCTCAAGAACAATCTTGTGGCCGAGAATCCAAGACCCCATCCACCTTGGCCACAAGGATGTTCTTGAGATGAAAATTCTCGTCTCAGGACTTAAGCAAAAGGATCAGGACTTGCACCACTCAGAATTCTCACAACTCTTTCCCTGCTCTGCATCCCTGTACCTGCACTTGATTCTCCTCTCTCTATCCAGCCAATTGCATCGGAGCAACCTAGTGGGCGATATCCCACCCACCTTGGTCAACCTTCCTCTCCTGTCGTCTCATAACTCGTTTCCCTGCACTGCTCCCCTGTTCGCGCCCTTGATTCACACTCTTCCCACCCCCCTCACTTCCAGCCAATTGGATCGCAACAACCTAGTGGGCGAGATCCCATCCCCGGTTCCCACCCTTGATTTTATTTCCCTCCCTCCCTTCCCAGCCAATTGGATCGCAACAACCTAGTGGGCGAGATCCCATCCCGTCCACCTTGGTCTCTTGAGATGCCTGTTTCAAAACTCCTTTCCCTGCAATGCGGTTCCCACCCTTGATGTGATTTCCCTCCCTCCCTCTCCAGCCAATTGGATCGCAACAACCTAGTGGGCGAGATCCCACCCACCTTGGTCAACCTCCCTTACCTCTTTCAATTGTATGTTTCTTACAGTTCAGGTGAAAATATAATGGAGAAAATATAAACATATTCAGCAACGTAACGTTCTCTTTCACATTGAATCTGAAAAGCATGCCTTGTACACATGCCCACCTCTCCGGAGACCTTTCTCGCAACCAGCTTGATCGAAAGCTGTTGATTGAAGAAGTGTTTTGAGACGTCTCAAAACACTTCTTCAATCACGTCACCTCTCCGGAGACCTTTCTCGCAACCAGCTTGATCAAAAGCTCTCTCTCCCTCCCTGCCACCGTTCCCAGTGGTCTTTTGCAGCATAACTCTACCACATTGCTCCCTCATCCCCGTCCCCCCACATCCCCTCCCCACCACTTCTTCTCCCAGTCACATGTTCTAGAATGGTCGCCTGCCACCCCCCCCCAGTCTTAATCACACCCTATCCCGCCTCCTTCCTTCCACTTCCCCATTCCCCCCACATCCATTCCCCCCACATCCATTCCCCCCACATCCATTCACCCCAGGGACCTCTCGCACAACCAGCTAGTAGGCTCGGTACCGGACATCTTTCCCCCAGGCAACGAGTTGAACACTGTGTGAGTACCCCCCTCTCTCACCCTCCCTCTCTTCCCACCCAAGAACCGTTCCCCTCTCTCACTCTCCCTCCCTTCCCACACCCACAAACCTCTTTTCTTATTGTCCGGGGTCTTCCCACCCGAAGGATCAGTCCCACCCGCACATCTTCCCCCCTGGAAATGAGTCGAACACTGTGCGAATAGTTTCCTCCTTCGCTTTCCCTCCCTAGCTCTCCTTCCATTTTTTTCAAGCGCCGCAAAGACGCCTTTCCCCCCCTGGCAATGCGTTGAACGTTGTGTGAGAGGGTGTTCTTGAGACTTTTGAGTCGACTCAAAAGTGTGAGTACACATTTCTTCCTCTCTACGTGCCTCCCTTCCCCTGTGTAGAGAGGGTGTTTTTGAGACGTCTCAAAAACACCCTCTCTACACGTGGCTATTCCCCCCCTGGCAATGCGTTGAACGTTGTTTGAGTACACATTCCTTCCTCTCTACTTGCTTCCCCTCCCCTGCTTTGTCACTCTCTAATCCTTTGGCGCGTACAGCAATCAAATCTGCTTCGTCCGTCCGTCTGCCCGTGTCGCACTGTCATTCTCATCCCCCTTTAGAGACATGTCTCAGAACAAGCTCACTGGTGTGCTTCCCGACACAATCTCTACATGCGCATCAATTGTGTCGCTGTGAGTTCTGCTTCTTATGTGTGTGGAAGGGTGGGGCAGAGAGAGGGGTAAGGGCGAAGGGGGAGGGGGAGGGGGGAAGGGGGAGGGAGGGGGAAAGGGGAAGGGGGGAGGGGGAGAGGGGAGGTGGTTTGCCTCTGTACTTTAGTTTCTAAGTTCTCATCTCTCTTTTGTCTTTACAGTTTGTTTTTTTTTCTTCCAAAGTTCATCAATTTCATCTCACTCACAGCTTTGCTTCTACGCTGTTTTTGAGGCGCCTAAATTTTTTTTAGACGATTTCTGAGGCGCTTCAAAAATACTGACAGCTTTGCTTACTCTCTTCTCTTCTCCTCTCCTCTCCTCTCCTCTCCTCTCCTCTCCTCTCCTCTCTTCTCCTCTCCTCTCCTCTCCCCTCCCCTCCCCTCCCCTCCTCTCCTCTCCTCTCCTCACCACTCCTCTCCACTCCTCTCCGCTCCTCTCCTCTGTTCCCTCATCGTAACATTAAGCAATTTGTTCGTTGACTCCAAAGCTTTTGCCACTCCCCTCCCCTTTCCTGCTCCTCTCCCCTCTTTATTTCTCCCCCTTAACCCCCCCACCCCCACACCTCTTTCTTCCTCCTCTCCCCACCCTTCACCCATCCCTCCCCTTCTTCCACCTCCTCTCCCCTCCCTACCTCCCCCCCCACCGACTCGGACTATCGCATTCCGTTTCCCCCCACTCGGGCAGGGCAGAGCAGTGACCTCAGCAACAGTGCCCTCAGTAGGAGGCCCGCTGATGTTAGAGGCGCCTCAAATGGCGACATTTTAGGCGCCTCAACACCCCCCCCCCCCCCCCCCCACACCCACTCGCATTCCGTTCCTCCTGCAGGGACGTCAGCAACAACGCCCTCAGTGGACGGCCGGCAGATCTGATCAGCAATCTTCAATCCCTTGCATATCTGTAAGTCAGCCATGAAAAATTCCCCTTCCACTTCCCCTCAACCCCCACCTTCCCCCACCCCCCCTCACGTATCCATAAGCATTTTCCAATCTCTTCTTCCTCCTCACACCCACCCTAGTACCCCTCCCTGACTTTTGAGTCGACTCAAAAGTCACCTCATTTCCAATCTCTTCTTCCTCCTCACACCCTACCCCTCCCTTCCCATCCCTCCTTCTAGCAATCTCTCTCGCAAGTAACTATGTCACTGGCCAGTGAGTTTGCCAGTGAGGCCCTCCCCCCACGTGTGTTTTCTGCCCCCCCAGCCCTTACCCTCCTTGACCACAACTTCTTCTCAAAAGCGTTTCTGAGAACTCTCGAAAGCACCCGCCAGTGCACAGTGCACTAGGTGACTTTTGAGCCGACTCAAAAGTCACCTTGACCACAACTACTTCTCAAACGTGTTTCTGAGAACTCTTGAAAACACCCGCCAGTGCACAGTGCACTTCCCCCCCCCCCCCCCCCTCCGCCTCCCCACCCCCCACATCCCCCATCCAGCGATCTCTCTCGCAACTATTTCACCAGCCCTCTCCCCCAGGTTTACCCGGCCCCATCTATTGCCCTCCCAGACCTCTCCTGCAACATCCTCTCTGTCTTATCCCACCACCAGCGCCACCACCAAACCTCCTCCTCCCCCCCTCCTTTTCTCCCACCCTTCCGCCCTGTCCATGCCCATGAATCCCCCCCCCTCTCCTCTTCCTCCCACCTCTCGCCCTTCCCCCACATCCCCCCATCCAGCAATCTCTCGCGCAACTATTTCACCGGCCCTCTCCCCCGCGTGTATTCTGCCCCGGCTATCGCCCTCCTAGACCTCTCCCGCAACTACTTCTTTGGTCCGGCAAGCATCGTAGACACCCAGGGCACACCGCTGCTCTCCCAAACCTCTGCCCCAGGCTCGGGAACCATCCAGAGCACCGGAGCTGCAGGCTTGGCGTTGAGCGTGGGGAGAAACTGCCTGGTGTATAATTTGTCAGGAACCGGAGCAACAGCAGCATCAGGCTCGGTGCTTGGTTTGGAAGGGCAGAGGAGCGTGGACGACTGTAGCCTTTTCTGCCGAACCGGACTGAGTGGTTCGGCAACCGAAGCTGAGAACATGCAGTGTGGAGGCTGGGGGGTTTGCCTTGCCAAGGTGGTAACCAGCAAGTCGCCTCCAGCTGTTGTATTCGCATGTAAGCAGTATACTTTGCAGTGATGGAAGTAAGACCTCCGCAGCCCACCTATCTGCTACTGACAGCACATACTTTGCAGTGCAAAGTGATGTACACTCGTCAAAACGAGTCAAGTAATACTCGACTCGCCATTTGCCCATGTATAGTTTGCACTCTGGAAACGACTTTTGAGGCGCCTCAAAAATGGAGACATGCATAATTCTTCCCATTACTTTTGAGGCGCGTCAAAGGCAGTACTCTAACATTTGATCTCCACCATACTCTGCTGCTACAGTACTCTTCCCTCGCTCGCACTTTCTCCTCACCTCCTCCTCTCCGTCCCCTCCTTATATACTTAGATACTCCCTCTTTTCATGCCTCGTTTTCTCCCTTTTTTTCCACCTCATTTCTTCCTAACCGTTTCTCTTTCTCTTCCTCTTTCTCTTTCCCTTTTCTCCCCGCCTGTTGCCCTGCTTGAATCTTCTCCCTGCCAGGTGCACCCTCCCCTGGATTGCCCAGAAAACCCCCTCCGCCCCCCCCATCCCCTCCCCCTTCCCCACCACCGCAACCACCACCTTCCCCTCCCCTTTCCCCACCTCCCTCCCCCCCCTCCCCCCCTCCTCCTTCCCCACCGTTTTCCTCCCCGCCCCCACCACCCCCCCCTCCTCCCCCCGACTCCATTCCACCCCCGCCTTCCCCCCCTGACTCCCCCTCACCCCCACCTTCCCCTCCTGACTCCCCCTCACCCCCTCCTTCCCCCCCTGACTCCCCCTCACCCCCACCTTCTCCCCCCGACTCCCCCCCGTTCCCACCTTCCCCCCCCGACTCCCCCCCTCCCCCTGCCCCTCCGCTTTCACCTCCCTCCCCACCCTCGCCTCCCCTTTCTCCCCCTCCCCCCTCACCTCCTCTCTCTCCCCCTCCCCCCTCACCTCCTCTTTTCCCCCCTCCCCCTCCAACCTCCCCACCTCCTCCTTCTCCTCCTCCCCCCTCTCCATCCCCTCCCTCTCCTCCTCCCTTCCCTCCTCCCTCTCCTCCTCCCTTCCCTCCTCCCTCCCCTCCTCCCTCCCCTCCTGCCTCTCCTCCCCCGCCTTCTCCCCCCAGCCCACCCCCGTCCCCTCCCCCACCCCCCGCGCCTTCTCCCCCACCGCTTGGGTGCTTCTGGAACGGCATAAAGTTTGTTTGCAATAAGGTATAGGGGGGACTGGGAACGCTGTAGTGGGGACTGGGAATGATGTAGCGGCGACTGGGAAAGCTGTAGCAGGGACTGGGAAAGCTGTGGCAGGGACTGGGAAAGCTGTAGCACGGACTGGGAAAGCTGTAGCAGGGACTGGGGCAGGTGGAACGATTGGGGCAGCTGTAGCACTAACGAGGGCCGTAGCACGAGACACGGGCCGCTGTTGAGGCACTGGGGTACTGGAGCAACAGAGGAAGCGGCAGCACCAATTGGGGAAGCTGCAGCACCAACAGGGGCAGCTGTCGCAGCAACGAGGATAGGTGCAGGAGAAACAGGGGCCGCTGTTTGAGGCATTGGGGTGCTGGAGCAACAGAGGAAGCGGCAGCACCAACTGGGGAAGCTGCAGCACCAGCAAGGGCAGCTGTAGCACCAACATTTGACAACAGACAGTACATGACAACTTAACAAACAAGTGTTATTTTCTTACGGAGTGAGTGTAGAAGCAATGGGTGGATCAGCTGAGCTGTACCAGGCGTGGCTGTAACAGGGACTGTGCATGTTAAGCGGCAGTTACAATTTCTGCGTCTGCTGTTTTAGTAAGTGTGTGAAGCAGCAATTGGGGGAGGGTTGTTGCACTGGCATAACCATAACCATCCGTGGTAACAAATAGGCCAGATGGAAGCAGGCATGGCGGGCGGGACCTGTGGCAGTTTTGATTTATTCATTAGCTGTAATAGGCGTAGTTTTCGCAGAACTTCACTCTGTTAACGGAGTGCTCTGATGGTTGACAGGTGGCTGGTTACATCTGCCTATTATAATTATACGCTAAAAATGGTAAGCATTATAGTCCTTATAGCGAATTATACTGTTACATATCTAACAACCCTAAGTGAGGATCATAGTCGTTGGCAGGTGTCAAGCCCTCGCAAGTTTTGTACTACGAACCATTGTCGTGTAGGGCAAGCGATGGTCAGCTTTCTCCTTGCGACAGAAGTCCATTCTTCGCAGAGCTCGCACGGTTTGGAGCAGCAACCTTGCCATCAAACGAGCGGCCATTATCTCCGATACTCAGATTTTGCCTGAGCGCGTTCTCCGGTGTAATCAACCTGGACTTTCTCAACGTTGATTGGTCGTCGCTTTATAGTCACATTTCTCACACTGGTCTAACTCATTAGTAAGTGACAAAAACAGAAACATCCAGTTTACCCTCCCGACTTGGATATAAGAACGGAAATTTAGGTAGTAAGAGAATGAAGCCCATATAATTCACTTGGTAGTGCTCGGTAGCGCAACCGACCGCTAAACAAAGCTACCGAAAGCACTAGACGACGCTACCGAGAACTATTCGGGCATGGCAGAAAAAAAAACCCCCTAGGGAACCTGGATGCATTTTCGAGAGGGGTCAACCCTAAACACGGGAATGGAAACTGTTTTTAGGTTTGATGCCTCCCGAGTCGCATCCCTTTCCGATTGGGTTTTTTTTTTTTGGTCAAGTGGGTTGCAATATGTTTTCCAAAATATTGGGCGGCTTTCGGTATTTAGGGTTGATCCTTCCCGGAAATCATCTAGGTTCGCTACGGGTTTTAAAGTTATTTTTTTGCAAAAGCTGCAAATTTTTTTTGAGTGACTGTATACAGTTATGAGACAGAAAAGCTTCCTACTATATCGCAAAACCGTGTTTCTGTTGGTGATTACACCTGAGAACGCGCTCAGGCAAAATTTGAGTATCGGAGATAATGGCCGATCAAACGAGTCCCGAATCAGTCCAGTCAACGGGTCTGGTGGCAAGGTTGCTGCTCGGACGACGGCTGGGGGCTTGGTCTTGATTCTTATGGCGAGAGCTGCCACTTTAACGAGTCTGCACGAAGCGCTAAAGCTTCATAAGGAAACATGAACTGTTACAATCACTATCAGAGATCACGCGTCGCTTCACGTCCGAGGTGTCATGACACCCGTCACCACATCGCTGGGAGGATTCGGGGGAGGGCGAAAGGTTGGACGGCATCGGGTGGGCCGTCCAGAACTTGAAACTTCAGGACGTGATCCGAGTGCACGAGTTACAGTTCTGGTGCCATCCTGTACGGAAGCATCTGTTCTTTGTTCTGGGCGAACTTCGCTTCTGTTGCCACTAGTGGTCCGAAACGAAGAAATGGGGATTGGAAATAGGTACGAGCGGATATCCTGGTTGGCCCACCTGACTCTGATTGGTTCGGCTCAGTCAGCCCTCTGCGCTCCGTATGAGCCAATAGATGGAGGGTGTAGCGCCTCGCGCCTCGATTTCTCAAGCCATCGAATCGAGCCGCGCTAAGCCAGCTGCCCCTCCCTGCGCAGAATACCTACCAAATAGCCCCCACCTCGGACGAAACATAAAATTCCACTCAACAGTCTTCAGTTCATCCTCCTCAATTCTAGTTACACCTTCCACTCACGCAAAACAGCATTCCTAACGCTTTGTTTCAGCGCAGTTAGGCCTACCCCAGCAGGACTGCCCCTTGCTCTACGAGCATACGTGTACGGGCCGAAGAGGCACTTTCCAGTAGTGAACTCTTCTCTCAACTACAATGGAAACAGCTTGGCTGAAACGCGCAGCGGTCTGGACATTCGCTGGCCTAGGCCTCGTGCTCGCCGTCATTTCCTGCTGCGAGATGGCGGACAATTACCTCGTAATCTCCCACCCGAGCGCGTGCGTCGCGTCGTCCAACCGCACCCTCTGCGCGGCGGAATTTCGCGTGGCGCGGCGATCTCTAAGCGTGGTGCCGCAGTCGCAGGAGCAAGTAACCGTTGCCATGGTCGCGGGGGTGCAAGCGCAAGTCGCGGCGATCATCGCGGCGGCGGACGAAATCAAAGCCAGCAACGTGCGGAACGATCACTTCACGAACGCCATGGCGCGGGCCTGCGCGCGGCAGGCGAACATCGCGCTGCGATACCTGGGGCAGGCGGGCGACGCTATCGAAGCCGGCACGAATCAGCGCGACGTGCCGTACTGGCTCGCTGCCGCCGACACGCAGGTCGATAACTGCGTCGACGGATTCCAGACCTTCTCGCCCTCGACAGAGGGGCTCCCCGCTTACATCCATCTTGAGGTTAGTTATAAGTTCGATCGAAACGAAAAAAAACACCTCGGTTCTTTCCGCGCTGGATTATTATGATGCGTACCCTTTCTAGTCCTCTTTGGGTAGTGAAGCAGCCCCTTGTATTGCTCCTCCCTTCTCCTTCGACTGTTTCTCATTACTCGTTTCCCTCCATTACTCGTTTCGGAAACGCAGTTTCTCATAGATAAATTGATCATGGTTAAGAACGGTGCCCCATCCAACCCCCTTATTTTCCCTTTCCTCAGTACACGGCTAAGAAGGCGGGTAGCACGCTCGACGCGCTCGTCTCCGTCACCAACGCCGCCGCGAAAGCCGCCGTAGCCGCCGCAACCGACGTCCCATCGACAGAGGAGGACGTGGCGCCCGTGCGCGGACGCCGCATGGCCGTCCGATCCAGCAGCGGCGCGGGATCCGTGGGGAGCGGCGCGATGGACTGGCTCGAGCCGGGGCTGTACGCAAAACTGCAGGAGCTTCAAACGAGGATGAACGCCGAGTTCGCCGCCGGTGCAGGCGGGGAGGATTCGGAGGGCGGCTCCTTGGCGAGAAGGCAATTGGATGACGACGATGATGATGACGAGGAGGACAGGAAGGACGAGGAAAAGAAGGCTAAGAAAGAGCAGGAGAAGAAGGATAAGGAGGAGAAGAAGAAGAGCCAGAAGGACAACGACAGCGGTAGCGATAGCGGCGATAAGAAGAGCAGCAGCAAGAAGAGCAGCAAGAAAGCGTCTCCCACCGCCGGGCCGATGGTCGTTAGTCCGTCCCTTATCGCCAGCGCGACCGTCGGATCCGGGTACTCGACGATCCAGGCCGCGATTGACGCCGCTCCCGGCGGCACGCGGTTCGTGATTTACATTCCCGCGGGGACATACAACGAGCAGGTGCTGATTGAGACGACGGATATTGTTCTGATTGGTGCCGGCGCGGATAAAACGATTATCACGGGCGACGAGAGTTATGGCAGCGGCTCGGGAACGTTCGAGTCGGCTACTGTTGGTGTCGATAGCGACAGGTAATGCCACCCGTTCGTTCCTGCCCTGCTCCCCCTTTCCTGATTGCTTGGCCTTTCGTTTCCCTCGCTTACTTCTCTCTCCTCATACCTAACATTCCCCGCACCACCCTACTGGTTACCACCCGACAGGTTCGTCGCGTTCGGAATCAAGTTCGTCAACACGGCAGGTCCCGAGAACCACCAAGCCGTCGCGTTCCGCGCCACGGGCGACCAAACGGCTCTCTTCGACTGCGCCTTCGACGGCGCGCAAGATACACTGTATGTGGACGCGGGGCGGCAGTACTACAAGAATTGCTGGATTGGCGGCTCGATGGACTTCATTTTCGGCGACGCGGCGGTTGTAATCGACGCGCCGAAGATCCAGCTACACCCGAGCCCTTCATTTGTGACTATAACGGCGTCGGGGCGCAAGTCGGAAACGCCAACCGGGATCGTGATTCGCGATGCGGAAATCGCGGCGGACAGCGGTACTACCGAGGTGTATCTGGGCCGTCCGTGGAAGAAATGCGCCTTCACCGTTTTCATCAACGCCAACCTCCCTGCGGTGAGATTCGCGTTATTACCAGCCCTATACACCCCTATGTACCCCTTCTGGACCTGTATTCAACCCGTATGCAACCCGTGGAAAAAAATGCTCCCTCACCGTTTTCTCGCAGGTGATTGAAAAGGACGGGTGGCTGTCGTGGAACGAGGGCAGCTGCATGTTCCTGGCGGAGGCGGGCAGCAAGGGCCCTGGCTGCATGTTTGCTCACCTCCTCCCCACCTCCTTCCTGTCCCCTCCCCCACCCCCATCCAACCCCATCCAACCCCATCCACCCCCATCCCCCTTCAGGTAATCGAGAAGGACGGGTGGCTGACGTGGAACGAGGGCAGCTGCATGTTCCTGGCGGAGGCTGGCAGCAAGGGCCCGGGCGCGGCCTCTCCCCGCGCGGATTGGGTGGAGCCGGGGATAATCACTGACGTCAGCGGGTACGACGCGAATAGCTTCACTGAAGTGAATAGCTGGCTCAGCTGGGCGGGGTAGCTGCTTCTGTGAGGAGGAACAGGAGCAGTAGAGCAGGTGGTGAAGGAGCAGCAGCAGCAGCAGCAGAGCAGGGGAGAGGGGGTGGGACAGCAGGAGTCGCAGCAGCAGCGGCAGCAGCAGGGAAGGGAGGGCCGCACCAGCAGCAGAGAAAGGGGAGGCAGCAGCAGAAGCAGCAGCAGCAGAGCAAGGGGAGGCAGCAGCAGAAGCAGCAGCAGCAGAGCAAGGGGCGTGGTAGTGTAGCAGTAGGAAGAATCCATGCATTGGCTTTGTAGTCACAAAATCAGCAGCAACATCCCACCCGGGAAGCAGCAGCCCTTCAGGAGCAGTGCAAAAGGTGCTTTACTTGTAGCTACATTGTCAATGGCGAGATACTTGTGATCTCTTTGTAAGTACCACTTCTGGTAACAGATAAGTAGGAAAGAATTGCGGTTTTTTTTCTTGGTTCATTGTAGACGCTTTTCATATTGTGTACTCTGCCTTCAAGCCATATCTAAAAGGCCACACAGCCTGCATTGATGCCACTTTCAGTCATGACGAACTAGTTTTAGCAAAGTTCTCGATGAGCTTGAAACAGTTTGGTGTTTGTCCTACCCAGAGTGTACTACCGCAAGCATTTGTTTAGCGGGCCCTGAATATTTACAGACAGTTATTCTGCATTGCTTCATAGCAGTGTCACTGAATATCATGGTAAGTGCATTATATTCTGTAACTGTGCTAACTTGGGTGTAGAGCAGTGTAGTATTGGTCATTCAGTTTGTACATGAAGTAGTTGGGACATTGGGAGGAGCGTGAAGTTGGTAGTATGGGGGATTGCAAGGCGCTGCAGGCACAATTCCAAGGACCTCGGGAGACAGGAAATCTGGCGTGAGGCCAATCCAAGGCCAAGGCGGCTCGAGCCCAACCCATCACGCTGAGTATCTCGCGACTGGGTGGCCTAGCATAAATAAGCCTAGCCTAGCATAATATTTGCATAGTGGATTTATGTTACCGTTCTAAGCTACAACAAGTTGACAGACGCCGCTCTTGGTAGCCAGCTGTGGGAGCCTGAATCTCTCACAAACGAGAGAAGTGCAGGCGACATGGATCGCCATGAGCTGCGCAAGCAGCGGACGTACTCACGGCGGGAGCGTTCACCGTCGCGAAGGAGGCACTCATCGGAGCGCGGGAGGTCGCCAACGCGCTCGCCCCGCAGGGCGACGTACCGCGCAGACTTGGTGACGCCTACTGGCAGGCACCGTGATGATGACGGATCGGATCCGCACGTCAGATCTGAGCCGTGGAGAAGGCCAGCGAGGAGCGATCCGTGGAACCTGTCGGAGGGACAGCACGGAGGACGCGCGCGCCAATACGATGGCGACGTTGACATGCAGTCGCTGGATTCGGCGAGTGAAGCGGACGAAGAAGAGGAACACGAGGAAACGTCAGCGGCAAATCGCGAGCTGCGACGTGGCGCGGGAGAGAATGAAGACGCGCCAGGTGCGCAAGTTGGCATGCAGCATGGCGAAATTGAAGAAGATGGAGAATCCCCGACTGCGCGGGGCGGCGAAAATCCCAATAGCCAAGACGGAGAAGATTCCCCAACTGCGCGGGGAGGAGGAAGGCAAGGGGATGCTGAGTAGGAAGATGAGGAACCAAGCCGACGCGGCGAGGCGGGGGAGAGCGAGACAGAACGCAAGGACGGGGAGCACTCACAAGTGAGGCGGCGTGAAAACGACGCGCCGCGAGGAAGCGCCAAGGGTGCGGAATGCCGGTCGAAGGTGAATCGGGAAGGCGAAGGAGGACGTGATGCACAGGCGGGTGTCTTCTGCTCGCCTGAACCAGGACCGAGGTATGAGCGCCGACGACGAATGGCGGCAGGCGAAGGACAACGGACGGAGCGCGAGAATCGGGAAGAGGAGGAAGACTACAAGGGTCGGCGCCAGAGAAGCCCGTGCGGAAGGGAGCGGAGGCAGGATGCGGAAAGGCGTGGCAAGGAAAGGGGCCAGCGGTCGCCGTATGGTTCAAGAACGAAAGAGAGAGAGTGGCGGCGAGGAGAGCCTGAGCGGCGGCACCAGGAGCGTTCGCCTGCATGGAAATCAAAGCGGCGGGATGGTGCGGAAAGGCGCAAAGAAGATCATGAAGATGATAGGAGGAGGAGCAAAGAGGCCACGGCCATACGGAGAAGGATCTGGAGGAGCGAGAGCAGCCCGCGAGGGGCTGGAGCGAGTGCTGTACGGGACCAGCAGGGGAAGCAGAGGAGAAAAGGGGAGGCAAAGGGGAGTTGTTCAGCCAGATCGGGGAGAATCGGGAAGCTGGGACACATGGAGATGGGCCGCGACGGCACAGCCAAGAGTGGAGGTACCGGTGCGCTTCACGGGGAATGAAGGGACTGGCCCGAGCCTGAAGAATTACTTGATGCAGATAAGCAATGTTAAGTACAGGTGTGACGGGAGTGGGATGGACCTTATCGATTTCTTCTTAAGACTTCCAAACACACTGGGAGGGGAGGCGGAGACTCTGTACCATATGAAGATTGGAGAATGGTTGAGGAGAGCGGAGGAGGATGATGAGGACCCGACAGTACTGTTCCTGGATCTGCTGAGGAAGCAGTTTCCGAGGCACACGGCCCAGCGCATTAGGGAGTTCCAGGAGTTCAGGCGTCGGGACGAGGAATCACTTCTGACGTACTACGGACGGTTGATGAACCTGGCGGAGGACGTGGTGTGCACTGACAGCAGTATGATCATCAGCAAATTCTTAAACGGATTAGACAAGGGGCTGGCAGGAGGTTTGAGGATGAGAGTTTACGAGGTGGGGGCGGAGGCGACGCCCAAAGAAGTGTTTGAGCTAGTAGAGAGAGTGGAGTTGGCACAACAAAAGTACGAGGTGTACCTGCCGAAGCCGGCGGAGAAGAAGAAGCCTGCGTGGGCTGCAGCAATGATGACAGAGACCGAGTGAAGGGAGGAAAGCCGAACGGAGAAGGGAGCTGAGACGCGCACCTACCACCGATGCAAGCAGCCGGGGCATCTGATGAGGAATTGTAGGAACTGCGACCCCTGTGGGATGCCGGGACACCGCCGCAAGGACTGCCCGGATGCACCAACATGCGAGGTTTGTGGGAAGCGGGGGCATAAAGGAAAAAACCGTTACCAACGCACAGGGGGGTCGAGGAGGACTCCAGAGGACATAGAGGGTCAGATAGGTGGGCTACATGTGCAGCTGCAGGCAATGGGTGGGAAAAAGGAGGAGGCAGGGTTATATGCTAGGGAAGACGATGATGAAGCAGAGGTAATAGAGGAACCAGAGCCGGAGCAAGAGCAAGGGCAGCAGCGTGAAACCCGCCTCGGGTCCCATTCGCGCGAGCAAGGGCCTGAAGGCCAACGCCGTCGTGAAGGGGAAGATTCAGTCCGCGATTGACGCCGCTCCTGGCGGCAGCCAGTACGTGATCTACATCCCTGCCGGCACGTACAGGGAGCAGGTTGTCATCGACACCCCCGATATTATCCTCATCGGGGCCGGCGCCGGCGCTACCGTGATCACGTACGACGAGAGCTACGGCAGCGGGTCGAGCACGTTCGATTCAGCCACGGTCGGGGTGAACAGCGACCGTTTTGTCGCGTTCGGAATCAAATTCGTGAACACAGCCGGCCCCGAGAACCACCAGGCTGTAGCGTTCCGCGCTACAGGCGACCAGTCGGCGGCGATCGACTGCGCGTTCGAAGGCGCGCAGGATACGCTGTACGTGGACGCGGGGCGGCAGTTCTACTCCAACTGCTACATCGGCGGCACGCAGGACTTCATCTTCGGCGACGCGGCCGCCGTCATTCAGAACGCCAAAATCCAGCTGCATCCCAGCAAGTCGTTCATCACGCTCACCGCGTCGGGCCGCGCCAAGGACACGCCGACGGGGATCGTGATTCGCGACTCGGTGGTGAGCGCGGACAAGGGCGCGGCGAAGGCGTACCTGGGGCGGCCGTGGAAGAAGTGCGCGTTCACGGTCTTCGTGAACGTCGTGCTGCCGGCCGTCATCCAGCCGGATGGGTGGCTGTCGTGGAACGAGGGCAGCTGCATGTTCCTGGCGGAGGCCGGCAGCAAGGGCCCGGGCGCCAAGGCGTCGCGCGCCGACTGGGTGGACCCTGGGATCATCTCCAGCGGCGCCTCCTACACCGCCGCTGCCTTCGCTGAAGTCAACTCCTGGCTCATCCTCTCCTGAAACCGCTCCATACCGCTCCCTACCGCTTGTGACTGTAGCGGACGGGATTCTTTAAGGATGGCGTCAGTCTTTGGGAATCAGGAGACGTGACTGTAGTGACGGTGCTTGTAGAAGCGGCATGGCTTCAGGTGGGTCCTGCTGCTATATGCGCTAGAACTTATTAGGCCAGGAAGGAAAATGTGAGGAGAATGCTAGGGCAAAGGGCAAGCTAGTAGCCCTGGTAGGGCAGGCAGGAAGAGAAAAGAGCTGCTAGTAGCGCTTGTAGCTTAGCAATGGGCTTGCTAGTGCTTTCTGTGTAATAACTAATGGTTTTGAACAATAAAGCACGCGTACAAATGCTTAATGCATTTTCTCCTTTCAGTCCTGCTGCCTCATGTTCTCAACCCATCCCATTCAGTAGCCTCACTTGCTCATCCCTTCCCACTCAGCAGCCTCACATGCTCATCCCTTCCCACTCAGCAGCCTCACATGCTCATCCCTTCCCACTCAGCAGCCTCACATGCTCATCCCTTCCCACTCAGCAGCCTCACATGCTCATCCCTTCCCACTCAGCAGCCTCACGTGCTCATCCCTTCCCACTCAGCAGCCTCACATGCTCATCCCTTCCCACTCAGCAGCCTCACATGCTCATCCCTTCCCACTCAGCAGCCTCACATGCTCATCCCTTCCCACTCAACAGCCTCACATGCTCATCCCTTCCCACTCAACAGCCTCACATGCTCATCCCTTCCCACTCAGCAGCCTCACTTCCTCACGTGAGGATGGGAAGTCCATTCGTTCTGTTTTCCACCCCGGCCCTTTCTCTCTGTGTCCCACTCCAGTCCATTCTCTCTGTTTCCCACCCCAGTCCTTTCTCTCTGTTTCCCACCCCTCTGTTTACCACCCCAGCCCTTTTTCTCTGTTTCCGAACGCATTCTCTTTGTTTTCCACCCCACTCGTTTAACTCTGTTTTCCACCCCAGTCCTTTATCTCTGTTTTCCACCCCACTCCTTTCTCTCCGTTTTCCATCCAATTTCACTGTGTCTGCTTCGCAAATCTCCCCTTTCTCTCTGCTTCCCAACTCAGCCCTTTCTCTCCGTTTCCCAACCAAGTTCACTGTCTCTGTTTCCCAACTCAGCCCTTTCTCTCTCTGTTTCCAACCTCAGCCCTTTCTCTCTCTGTTTCCAACCTCAGCCCTTTCTCTCTCTGTTTCCCAACTCAGCCCTTTCTCTCTGTTTCCCAACTCAGCCCTTTCTCTCTGTTTCCCAACTCAGCCCTTTCTCTCTGTTTCCCAACTCAGCCCTTTCTCTCTATTTCCCAACTCAGCCCTTTCTCTCTATTTCCCAACTCAACCCTTTCTCACTGTTTCGTAGCTCAGCCCTTTCTCTCTGTTTCCCAACCCACTACTTTCTCTCCGTTTCCCGACCAAGTTCACTGTCTCTGTTTCCCACCTCAGCCCTTTCTCTCTGTTTCCCAACTCAGCCCTTTCTCTCTGTTTCCCAACTCAGCCCTTTCTCTCTGTTTCCCAACTCAGCCCTTTCTCTCTGTTTCCCAACTCAGCCCTTTCTCTCTATTTCCCAACTCAGCCCTTTCTCTCTATTTCCCAACTCAGCCCTTTCTCTCTGTTTCCCAACTCAACCCTTTCTAACTGTTTCGTAGCTCAGCCCTTTCTCTCTGTTTCCCAACCCACTACTTTCTCTCCGTTTCCCGACCAAGTTCACTGTCTCTGTTTCCCACCTCAGCCCTTTCTCTCTGTTTCCCAACTCAGCCCTTTCTCTCTGTTTCCCAACTCAGCCCTTTCTCTCTGTTTCCCAACTCAGCCCTTTCTCTCTATTTCCCAACTCAGCCCTTTCTCTCTATTTCCCAACTCAGCCCTTTCTCTCTGTTTCCCAACTCAACCCTTTCTAACTGTTTCGTAGCTCAGCCCTTTCTCTCTGTTTCCCAACCCACTACTTTCTCTCCGTTTCCCGACCAAGTTCACTGTCTCTGTTTCCCACCTCAGCCCTTTCTCTCTGTTTCCCAACTCAGCCCTTTCTCTCTGTTTCCCAACTCAGCCCTTTCTCTCTGTTTCCCAACTCAGCCCTTTCTCTCTATTTCCCAACTCAGCCCTTTCTCTCTATTTCCCAACTCAGCCCTTTCTCTCTGTTTCCCAACTCAACCCTTTCTCACTGTTTCGTAGCTCAGCCCTTTCTCTCTGTTTCCCAACCCACTACTTTCTCTCCGTTTCCCGACCAAGTTCACTGTCTCTGTTTCCCACCTCAGCCCTTTCTCTCTGTTTCCCAACTCAGCCCTTTCTCTCTGTTTCCCAACTCAGCCCTTTCTCTCTGTTTCCGAACTCAACCCTTCCTCTCTGTTTCCTAGCTCAATCCTTTCTCTCTGTTTCCCAACTCAGCCTTTTCTCTCTGTTTCCCAACTCAGCCCTTTCACTCTGTTTCCCATCCTTGTCCTTCCATCCTTGTCCTTCCATCCTTGTCCTTCCATCCTTGCCCTTCCATCCTTGTCCTTCCATCCTCATCGTCTCACATGCTCATCCCTCCGAATCCAACTGCTACGGCCTCACATGCCCATCCAGTCTCATCCAATTGCCTCACATACTCAACCCTTCCAGTCATACTTCCTCACTTGCACATGATTGTATGTGGATGGGAAGGGATGAGCATGTGGGCAGTAGTATGGGAAGGGATGAGCATTTGTCGCAGAATGACAGGAATAATTAGAGCATGTGGGTAAATCAGAATGAAAGGGATGAGCATGTGGGCAGTTTAATGGGAAGGGATGAGCATGTGAGGCGGAATGACAGGAAGAATTGGTCTTGTGATATGGGGTATACGGTATGATTTGAGGCAATATGGTTGGAAGGGATGGGAAGGGATGAGGGAGGCTGTGAGGGAGTTGGATGGGAAGGGATGGGAAGGGATGAGCATTCGAGGCAGGAGTGTTGAAAGGGATGATCACGTGAGGAAATATGATGGGAAGCAATGAGCATGTGAGAAAATAGGATTGAAATGGATGTGCATGTGGGCCAGTAGGATTGAAAGGGATGGTCATGTGAGGAAATAGGATGGGAAGGGATGAGCATGCGAGGAAATAGGATGGGAAGCAATGAGCATGTGAGAAAAAGAGGATGGGAAGGGATGAGCATGTGAGGGAATATGATGGGAAGCAATGAGAATGTGAGAAAAATAGGATGGGAAGGGAAGGGATGAGCTTGTGAGGAAAGATGATGGGAATTGTTGAGCATGTCAGACAGTGGGATGTGAAGGATGAGCATGTGAGAAAATGGGATTGAAATTGGATGAGCATGTGAGGGAGGAATGTTGTAAGGGATGATCACGCGAGGAAATAGGATGGGAAGGAAAGAGCATGAGGCAGTAGGATGGGAATGAATGACCCTGGGAGGCAGATGCATTGAAAGTTCTAAGCATCCAGTGATTCGAAGTGATGAGCATGCTGAAATAGCATTCTTGCTATTTTAAAATTAATTATTGATCATTCATAGCAAGTACCGTACTAACATGTCCCTTGCGCCCTGGATATTTCCACAGAATTACTACGGCTCTAGCACGTCCTCTAGTTAGCCTTCCTACAAGGAAAGTTATCTCCCTAAAGATATCTTCCAAAGTTCTAGCGCCCACAGCAGCAGGACCCACGTATAGCCATGCCGCTCCTACAAGCACCGTCACTACAGTCACTTGTCCTGATTCCAAGACTGACGCCCTCCTAGAGAATCCCGTCTGCTACGGTCACAAGCGGTATGGAGCGGTTCCAAGCGGCTTCAGGAGAGGATGAGCCAGGAGTTGACTTCAGCAAACGCAGCGGCGGTGTAGGAGGCGCCGTTGGAGATGATCCCAGGGTCCACCCAGTCGGCGCGCGACCCCTTGGCGCCCGGGCCCTTGCTGCCGGCCTCCGCCAGAAACATGCAGCTGCCCTCGTTCCACGACAGCCACCCGTCCGGCTGGATGACGGCCGGCAGCACGACGTTCACGAAGACCGTGAACGCGCACTTCTTCCACGGCCGCCCCAGGTACGCCTTCGCCGCGCCCTTGTCCGCGCTCACCACCGAGTCGCGAATCACGATCCCCGTCGGCGTGTCCTTGGCGCGGCCCGACGCGGTGAGCGTGATGAACGACTTGCTGGGATGCAGCTGGATCTTCGCGTTCTGAATGACGGCCGCCGCGTCGCCGAAAATGAAGTCTTGCGTGCCGCCGATGTAGCAGTTGGAGTAGAACTGCCGCCCCGCGTCCACGTACAGCGTATCTTGCGACCCTTCGAACGCGCAGTCGATCGCCGCCGACTGGTCGCCTGTAGCGCGGAACGCTACAGCCTGGTGGTTCTCGGGGCCGGCAGTGTTCACGAATTTGATTCCGAACGCGACAAAACGGTCGCTGTTCACCCCGACCGTGGCTGAATCGAACGTGCTCGACCCGCTGCCGTAGCTCTCGTCGTACGTGATCACGGTAGCGCCGGCGCCGGCCCCGATAAGGATAATATCGGGGGTGTCGATGACGACCTGCTCCCTGTAGGTGCCGGCGGGGATGTAGATCACGTATTGGCTGCCGCCGGGAGCGGCGTCAATCGCGGACTGGATCTTCCCTTTCACGACGGCGTTGGCCTTCAGGCCCTTGCTCGCGCGAATGGGACCTGAAGCGGGTTTCACGCCGCTGCCCTTGCTCTTCCCCTTACTCTTGTTGTTCTTGTTCTTGCTCTTGCTGCTGCCGCCGCCGCTGCCGCCGCTGCTGCCCTTGTTCTTCTTGCTCTTCTTGTCCTTCTTATCCTCGTCGTCGTCATCATCATCGTCGTCGTCGTCGTGACGGCGTCGCAGCTCCCGCCGTGCGACGTAGTCGTGAACGCCGTCGCCCAGGGCGTTCAGCTCCGCCTGAAGCTGTCGCAGCTGTGCGACAAAGTCGTCGTCCAGCCACTTGGCGCCTCCTGCGACATCAGCGGGCTCGGACGATGCGAGCTTGCGACCCAACTCGGGCGGGCCTGCTGCAGCCTTTTTGGCGATAGCGACCACGGCTTCGAGCGTGTCGCTCGCCTTGTTGGCGACGGTCTGCGACAGGAGTAGGAGCAATTGACATTTGAGACAAAGCGTGTGCCTACTAAACTTGCTGTTTCTAACAAGAGCGATGCTGTTTGTTTTTATTCTGACGACATTGCCGCGTTTGTTCTTGTGAGAGTCGAAGAAGCGGTGAACAGCCCGTGTGGCAGCTGAATGAATTGAAGAGGGCGGGGGGCGAGTGGGGGGTGGGTGGGGGGGCAGGTGAGAGGGCAGGAACGAGGGTGAAGGCATGAGGGACGGGGGGAGAGGGGCTAACCTCGAGATGCACGAATGCCGGCTGGAACGTGGCTGAGGGTGCAAGCGTCTTGAACCCGTCGACGCAGTTGCCCACTTGCGTACTGGCGGCGGACAGCCAGAACGCGCGATCGTGCTGCGCGCTGTCCGTGTCGATCGCGTCCAACGTGCGGCCCAGGTAGCGCAGCGCGATGCCGCCCTGCGTGCTGCAGTCGTCCGCCACGACATTGATGAAGTGATTCTGCCTCACATTGGCGCGCTTGATCTCCGCGGCGGCATCGATGATCGCGGAGACTTGCGCCGCCACCGCGGAGACCATGGCGGCCGTGACTTGGTCCGCGGTTTGCGGGATAACGCTGAGTTGCATGCGTGCTGCGCGGAACTCTTGCGAGCAGAGGGTCGCGTTCGACACGCCGCTGCAGAGGGTAGGGTGGGAGATGACGAGGTAGTTGTCGGCCATGTAGCAGCAGGACACGATGGCGAGTGCCACGCCGATTCCCGCAACGGCCAATTTGGCTGCACGTTGAACCCCCATGTTGGATACTACGAAGTGAGGTGCTATTTCCTCTGTCGACTAGAGAAGGAATCTAGGAGCTTGAAATCTGAACGGGAGTGATGTCTAAACTCGACTAGGAGATGTGAATACAACAGTTGCTTTGAGCTTTCATGGAATCTCTGTGCTATTTTATGTTGCTCGGCTTTGCTGTGGTGGTTGTTTCGCGATTCGAAATAGTCGCAAGATAAAAAATCGTCGGACTCAGCAAGGGTGGGCGTTTCGGGAATTGGGAGGAGGGGACGGTTGGTTTGTCGCGGGTGGGACTGGTGGGGGTCGTGATTACAGAGAAAGCCGAGCCGCAGGGGGCTGTGATGCTGACTTTGATTGGTCAATCCCCCCCTAATCTCACTCGAGGTGCGCAAAAGCTCCTGAAAGCTCCTAATGCCCCCCTAACGAAATTCTGCGATAGTCGCTAGAGTCTGTCGCTAGGCATTGTCTGCACGAGACACAATGCCCATGCAACAAGGTGGAGGCAGTACGCAGGGCATGGCCGACAATGGTGGGGTTCAAGGGGGCAGCAGGGTTCAGGGAGGAAGGAGGAATTCCAGGAGAAGGCATGGTGTATGATCATAGGACGAAGAAGTGGGAGGAGCCAACGGCACTGGAGCGGGAGCTAGCGATGGGGTATGGGGAAGACATAACAAAAGTAGCAGGGGTGACAGAACAGGAAAGGAGGAAAGCGTTAGGACAGGCTATGGACGGTCAGGTCATGCAGTGGTTAATGCGGCGAATATGGAGAGGGCTGGTGCTGGAAGGGGAGCAGGAATCGCGGAGCAAGGAGGAAGGGGTAAAAAGGGTGGGGGCATGGGCGTGTGTGGCAGCTCAGGAAGAGCCAGCATGGGTTGTGGGAATGCAATGAGTGAAAAGGGGAAGAAGGCAGTGCAGGAGGTGCTGGCCAGGTTCAGGCATGCCTTTGCGTTTACCTTACAAGAGTTGGGAAAGTGCTCGGTGAAAGAGATGGAGTTGAAGCTGGTCACGGACGAGCCCGTGTTCCAAAGGAAGCGGAGAATGACACCTGGAGATGAGGACATCTACAAGGAAAAATGCAAGGAGTTGTTAGAAGCAGGACTGATACAGAGATCAGAATCGGAGTACGCAACACCGACAGTGGTGGCCACACGAAAGGACCTGCTGGGAGAGGTGCTGAGCCGACGCATGTGTGGGGACTACCGAGCACTGAACAAGGTGACGGTGCCCGATAGGTATCCAATGCCGACAGCGGAGGATATCTTTGACCGACTTGGAGCAGGGGAGATCTTTAGCACGCTAGATTTAAGACAGGGCTTCAACCATATCAAGATAAGGAAGGAAGACGTGCTGAAGACGGCATTCCATGGTGCAGACGGGCTGTATGAATGGCTGTTTATCTTTCAAAGGATAATTGGCAGTGTACTGAGGGGGCTGGAGTGCGCAGCATGTTACATAGATGACGTAGTGATCTTCAGCAAAAGTGAGGAGGAGCACGTGCGAGACATGGAGCGGACGCTGAAGGCGTTGGCTGCGGAGGCGACCGTGCAGTACCTGGGGTATGAGGTCAGGGGCGGACAGATAGGGATTCAACAGGCGAAGGTTGAGGTGTTGAACAAGGTATAGCAGCCGAAGGATAGGAGTGGACTGAGAGCGGTGCTGGGTTTCTGAGTTACTACCGTAGGTTCGTCCCTAATTTTAGCAAGCGTGCATCACAGCTGAATGGGCTGTTGAGAGAGGACAAAAGGTGGGAATGGGGGACAGAGCAGGAAGCAGCTTTGAGAGACCTGATGGAGGCGGTGCAGACAGCAACGATTCTGCAGCTGCCCAAGACCCACAAGCCCTTCTGCTTGTACACGGACTGGAGTAGCCAGGGCATGGGGGCAATCCCGTGCCAAGAACTGGACGGAGAGGAGAGGGTAGTGGCGTACGCGTGTAAGAGCTGTAACCCAGCAGCCTCCTTTGCAGGTACACTCTGAAGTGCTTCATAGCCCACACCGCGGCCAGCCCCTTTCCATGATAAGAGCTGTCACGATTGAGGTTGATGATGAGCGAGGACCATGACTCTGGGAGTAAGGCCAGCAACTTGGTCTTCTTTTGGAGCTCACTGTAGTTCAAATCAGCTCCCTCAAGCCGCGTCAACAAGTCGAAGAATTTCTGCACCCCTTCTTCAACCGCTTCGTCTTCTTCAATTCATAGTGCCGCCATTTGCCGTTCCAACACCACCGCTACCGCCGCTGTTGCAGGAGCATGTACACCCTTGAGACCAGCCCATGCCTTTGGTCCCTTCTCTGGTTCACGCTGGAATGGCTTGATGTGACGGATCTGGCTGCTCCCCAACGCTTGCCCAAGTAGGAGGTAGCCTTGTGCGCTCTTCCGCACCCACAGGCTCTTCTCCGGGTCGTTCTCGGGGCGCTTCTCCGTTCCTTCCATCACCTCCAGCAGGTCATAGTGGTCGAATAAATGCTACAGTGGCTGATGACTCAACAGGGGCTGACGGGGAGGAACGCACGCTGGGCCGTGACTCTGCGGGAATACGACTTCAACATACGCCACAGGCCGGGGAAGACACTGCAGCATGTGAACGGGCTCTCGAGGAACGCGCCCGCAGCAGAGCCAGTGCACACGCTGATGCTGCTAGCTAGGCAAGGGGAGGAGGCAGCAACAGAAAAGCAAGGAAAAAGAGGTCCACATGACATATGGGAGGAGCCCATGGCCCTGGGGTGGATGAAGGGGGAGACGGATGAGAACGAGCAGGTGGCAGACAGGGTGAGAGCACGAGGGCACCACTACCGATGGTACCAGGGACAGTTGCAACTGCAGTTAGTGGATGGGTGGAAGCTGGTGCCTGCACCGCAAGAGAGGGAGGGGGTAATTGAGGAGGTGCATAGGAAGCTAGGTCACTTCGGGCATGGGTGCACAACTCAGCTGCTCATGACCGGCTGGTGGTGGGAAGGGATGAGGAAACAAGTCAGAGAGTGGGTCAGTGGCTACGAAGGCTGCCAGAGGAGCAAGGCCAGCTTGACCCAGGCGAATCAGGAGCTGCAGTCACTGCTGATAAGAGGGTTGGGGTTTCGGTGGTCTCTGGACATAGCCGGCGAGCTGCCGCTGAGCAGGGGAGGAAAGCGGTATATCCTGCTCATGGTGGAGCATGCAAGCAAGTGGTTAGAAGTGTGTGCGTTGCCGAGCAAGGACTCCAGACATGTGGCGAAGGCATTCAGGGGACAGGTGCTGTGCAGATTTGGGGCACCAGGGGAAGTACTCACTGATTAGGGCAGAGAGTTCAAGGGGGAATTCCAAGCACTGCTGGACGAGGCAAGGGTGACACACAGGCAGACATCAAGGTACCATCCTCAGAGTGATGGTCTGACCGAGCGACTGGAGCAGACCTTGAAGCGGAACCTGAGGGGGTACGGAGAGAAGCGGAAGAGAGACTGGGATGATGAGCTAGACTGGGTGGCGGCAGGGTACAGGTTCGGGAAGCAGGCATCACTAAAGGACTACTCCCCATATAGCCTGCTGTTCGGAAAGGAACGAATACAGCCTGTGGGAGCACCAAGGGTACTGACGGGGGTGGTGAGTGTGAAAGGAGCAGAACAGTGGGTGGCGCTGGCAGAAGCACGAGGACGGTACATGCGGGAAATGCTCCCGGCAGCCCTGGAGAACTTGCACATGGCGCAGCTGAGAGATGCCCACAGATATGAGCAGCGACAGTAGCAAGGGGGCAGGAAAGCAAAGCCAGCAGTGACAGAGGGACAGGAGGTCTACTTGCGCAGAGCAAAGAATGACACACTGGATGTGGGGTTGGGAACAGCGAGGTGGAAGGTTAAAGAGGTGAGAGGATCAGGGGTGTTGGTGCTGGAGAACGAGAGGGGTGAGCGGACAGTGGGTCACCAGACAAACACAGCGGCGGTGAAGGAGAGACACCATCAGCAGGAGGGTCCTGTGACACGTGCACGGGCAGGCCGAGCACGAGCATAGGAGGGGGCAGGGAGTGGCTGAGGAAGAAATGACTCTGCAAGGTGGAAAGGGGGAGAAGGGGACTGAGAGCAATAAGGCATGAACTTGGGGAGCAGGCAGAGCAAGGCAGGGACTGGGTGCAGGTGAAAGGCATCAACCCTAGACTCCGACAGCAGCAGTAAAAAACATTGGACTCCTGGTAAAGACTCATGCCCACATTGATACAAAAGCTTTAGATATGAGCCACATTGATGCACTGGGTATTGCTGCCAGATGTCGCGCCCTTGTATAGCAAACGCGATTCCTAATAGGGTTGATCATGCCTTGGAATGAAGAAGTACGGTACATGCTGGGCCCGCTCTATTACTGTACAAAGTATTCCTAAAGTCTCGATGCGGTCAGATGTTTGTACAACAGTGGGTGTACTACCATTGCATCTTGACATGATTAGGCCCACTTGGAACTTCAGGGTTGGAGACAATAAGAGTTTGATCTGTATAGGCTAGCTAGGGTTGATCAAAATGGCAGGGGAGAAAGAGTGTGTGGGGGTGTATGCGTGTTTTGTGTTTTGTGTGTGTATGTGTGTGCGTGTGTGTGTGTGTGAGTGTGCGTGTGTAAGAGAGAGAGAGAGAGAGAGAGAGAGAGAGAGAGAGAGAGAGAGGGGGGGGGGGGGGGGGGGGGGGGGGGAGGGGGGGGGGGGGCTGACATGGAAAATAGGGCACACAAAAAAGCACGTTGTGGAATAAGGGGGCGTGGTATGGGAAACAGGAAGGTGGTGCATATGTACAACATAGATTTTAGTAGCCAAACCATGTGATCTTATTGCACGAGTTAAGTTTTGGAAACCTGGATTTCCATGCGAATAAGACACAATAAATCTGCATAGAAAGTAAAACGTTGGCAACCTAACCTGTACCTTTTGTCTGACTAAGATAGACATTAAAAGATAGACATTCCAGAAACACTGTTGGTCACATTTTATTGCTAACAATCGTGAGAAGATGCTAGGTGGAGCCTCCGCTCGTTTGTGCAGTTCCTTTCTGCGACACAAAATTGAATGCGACTGGTTCCAAATCTGTACGACGCGAACTAATCGTCATTAGTGATGGACGGCGGGCAATGCTCCGATGATGGGCGCTCAGAACAAGCCGGTTTCGCGCCGCTTCGAAGGAATGCCACCAACCAGGGAGTGAGAGAAAAGCGGGGGCTACTACTTACCCAATCACAATTCGTATTCGAGCCCATCTGCGGCCCGAGTTCCTCTGTTGTAGTCACGCGCCTCCTAGGTCAAGCCCTTCAATTAGCCAGATGGACCAATAACGATCGCGACCTCCCCCTAGCCAGATAAGCCTGGCTCATACACAACCCTCTTGACGATTCGAATCGCGATGCGACCTCCCTCCTTCCAGCCCCACCAGCCCCGACACATAAAATTGCCTCCGACATTCAACATTCCATCAACAAATTTCTTCACATCCAACTCACATTCCAAATAGTGCTCGTTTGCCCCTCACTGTCCACTCCCACCTACCCTACTCTGCAAAACCGCTAGCTTGGCATTCCAAACTCCATCATGGGGGCTAGAAGCGCAGCCACATTGGCCGTTGCGGGTATCGGCGTAGCTCTCGCCATAGTATCTTGCTGCTACATGGCCGACAATTACCTAGTCATCTCGCATCCCACCCTCTGCACCGGCGTGTCGAACGCCACTCTCTGCTCCCAAGAATTCCGCGCTGCTCGCCGGCAGCTCAGCGTCCTCCCGCAGGCCGCCGACACAGTCACGGCGGCGATGGTCTCCACGGTGGCGGCGCAAGTATCCGCGATCATCGGTGCCGCCGCGGAGATCAAGCGCGCCAATGTCCGCGGGAACCATTTCATCAACGTGGTGGCGGACGACTGCAGCACGCAGGGCGGCATCGCGCTGCGCTACCTGGGCCGCACGCTGGACGCGATCGACACGGACAGCGCGCAGCACGATCGCGCGTTCTGGCTGTCCGCCGCCAGCACGCAAGTGGGGAATTGCGTCGACGGGTTCAAGACGCTTGCGCCCTCCGCGACATTCCAGCCCGCATTCGTGCATCTCGAGGTTAGCCCCTTCCCATCTCGCCCAACCAAAAACCCCACTCCCCCCTTCCTCCCCCGCCCTTTCCGGCTCCCAACACAAAAGTTCCTAAGCATGCTGTTCTTCGTATCTCTGAGAGCTCGTCAGGGCGAAGGTGCCAAGACTGCCCATTGCTACTAAGTGTTTCTGATCAGATTCTAAACAAACGCGGAATTTCTAGTCAAGCGCACGTTGCCTCAATCTCTTGTATTACCCGTAACCCGCATCGCAGACTGTCGCCAACAAAGCGAGCGACACGCTAGAGGCCGTCGTAGCCATCGCCAAGAAAGCTGCGGCAGGTCCACCCGAGTTGGGTCGCAAGCTCGCGTCGTCCGAGCCCGGTGCTGTCGCAGGAGGCGCCAAATGGCTGGACGACGACTTTATCGCACAGCTGCGACAGCTTCAGGCGGAGTTGAATGCCCTGGGCGACGGCGTTCACGAGTACGTCGCACGGCGTGAGCTGCGACGCCGTGACGACGACGACGACGATGACGATGATGACGACGACGAGGACAAGAAGGATAAAAAGGACAAGAAGAGCAAGAAGAACAAGGACAGCAGCGGCGGAAGCGGAGGCAGCAGCAAGAGCAAGAGCAAGAGCAAGAGCAAGAGCAAGAGCAAGGGCAGCGGCGTGAAACCCGCCTCGGGTCCCATTCGCGCGAGCAAGGGCCTGAAGGCCAACGCCGTCGTGAAGGGGAAGATTCAGTCCGCGATTGACGCCGCTCCTGGCGGCAGCCAGTACGTGATCTACATCCCTGCCGGCACGTACAGGGAGCAGGTTGTCATCGACACCCCCGATATTATCCTCATCGGGGCCGGCGCCGGCGCTACCGTGATCACGTACGACGAGAGCTACGGCAGCGGGTCGAGCACGTTCGATTCAGCCACGGTCGGGGTGAACAGCGACCGTTTTGTCGCGTTCGGAATCAAATTCGTGAACACAGCCGGCCCCGAGAACCACCAGGCTGTAGCGTTCCGCGCTACAGGCGACCAGTCGGCGGCGATCGACTGCGCGTTCGAAGGCGCGCAGGATACGCTGTACGTGGACGCGGGGCGGCAGTTCTACTCCAACTGCTACATCGGCGGCACGCAGGACTTCATCTTCGGCGACGCGGCCGCCGTCATTCAGAACGCCAAAATCCAGCTGCATCCCAGCAAGTCGTTCATCACGCTCACCGCGTCGGGCCGCGCCAAGGACACGCCGACGGGGATCGTGATTCGCGACTCGGTGGTGAGCGCGGACAAGGGCGCGGCGAAGGCGTACCTGGGGCGGCCGTGGAAGAAGTGCGCGTTCACGGTCTTCGTGAACGTCGTGCTGCCGGCCGTCATCCAGCCGGATGGGTGGCTGTCGTGGAACGAGGGCAGCTGCATGTTCCTGGCGGAGGCCGGCAGCAAGGGCCCGGGCGCCAAGGCGTCGCGCGCCGACTGGGTGGACCCTGGGATCATCTCCAGCGGCGCCTCCTACACCGCCGCTGCCTTCGCTGAAGTCAACTCCTGGCTCATCCTCTCCTGAAACCGCTCCATACCGCTCCCTACCGCTTGTGACTGTAGCGGACGGGATTCTTTAAGGATGGCGTCAGTCTTTGGGAATCAGGAGACGTGACTGTAGTGACGGTGCTTGTAGAAGCGGCATGGCTTCAGGTGGGTCCTGCTGCTATATGCGCTAGAACTTATTAGGCCAGGAAGGAAAATGTGAGGAGAATGCTAGGGCAAAGGGCAAGCTAGTAGCCCTGGTAGGGCAGGCAGGAAGAGAAAAGAGCTGCTAGTAGCGCTTGTAGCTTAGCAATGGGCTTGCTAGTGCTTTCTGTGTAATAACTAATGGTTTTGAACAATAAAGCACGCGTACAAATGCTTAATGCATTTTCTCCTTTCAGTCCTGCTGCCTCATGTTCTCAACCCATCCCATTCAGTAGCCTCACTTGCTCATCCCTTCCCACTCAGCAGCCTCACATGCTCATCCCTTCCCACTCAGCAGCCTCACATGCTCATCCCTTCCCACTCAGCAGCCTCACATGCTCATCCCTTCCCACTCAGCAGCCTCACATGCTCATCCCTTCCCACTCAGCAGCCTCACGTGCTCATCCCTTCCCACTCAGCAGCCTCACATGCTCATCCCTTCCCACTCAGCAGCCTCACATGCTCATCCCTTCCCACTCAGCAGCCTCACATGCTCATCCCTTCCCACTCAACAGCCTCACATGCTCATCCCTTCCCACTCAACAGCCTCACATGCTCATCCCTTCCCACTCAGCAGCCTCACTTCCTCACGTGAGGATGGGAAGTCCATTCGTTCTGTTTTCCACCCCGGCCCTTTCTCTCTGTGTCCCACTCCAGTCCATTCTCTCTGTTTCCCACCCCAGTCCTTTCTCTCTGTTTCCCACCCCTCTGTTTACCACCCCAGCCCTTTTTCTCTGTTTCCGAACGCATTCTCTTTGTTTTCCACCCCACTCGTTTAACTCTGTTTTCCACCCCAGTCCTTTATCTCTGTTTTCCACCCCACTCCTTTCTCTCCGTTTTCCATCCAATTTCACTGTGTCTGCTTCGCAAATCTCCCCTTTCTCTCTGCTTCCCAACTCAGCCCTTTCTCTCCGTTTCCCAACCAAGTTCACTGTCTCTGTTTCCCAACTCAGCCCTTTCTCTCTCTGTTTCCAACCTCAGCCCTTTCTCTCTCTGTTTCCAACCTCAGCCCTTTCTCTCTCTGTTTCCCAACTCAGCCCTTTCTCTCTGTTTCCCAACTCAGCCCTTTCTCTCTGTTTCCCAACTCAGCCCTTTCTCTCTGTTTCCCAACTCAGCCCTTTCTCTCTATTTCCCAACTCAGCCCTTTCTCTCTATTTCCCAACTCAACCCTTTCTCACTGTTTCGTAGCTCAGCCCTTTCTCTCTGTTTCCCAACCCACTACTTTCTCTCCGTTTCCCGACCAAGTTCACTGTCTCTGTTTCCCACCTCAGCCCTTTCTCTCTGTTTCCCACCTCAGCCCTTTCTCTCTGTTTCCCAACTCAGCCCTTTCTCTCTATTTCCCAACTCAGCCCTTTCTCTCTGTTTCCCAACTCAGCCCTTTCTCTCTGTTTCCCAACTCAGCCCTTTCTCTCTGTTTCCCAACTCAGCCCTTTCTCTCTGTTTCCCAACTCAGCCCTTTCTCTCTATTTCCCAACTCAGCCCTTTCTCTCTATTTCCCAACTCAGCCCTTTCTCTCTGTTTCCCAACTCAACCCTTTCTAACTGTTTCGTAGCTCAGCCCTTTCTCTCTGTTTCCCAACCCACTACTTTCTCTCCGTTTCCCGACCAAGTTCACTGTCTCTGTTTCCCACCTCAGCCCTTTCTCTCTGTTTCCCAACTCAGCCCTTTCTCTCTGTTTCCCAACTCAGCCCTTTCTCTCTGTTTCCCAACTCAGCCCTTTCTCTCTATTTCCCAACTCAGCCCTTTCTCTCTATTTCCCAACTCAGCCCTTTCTCTCTGTTTCCCAACTCAACCCTTTCTCACTGTTTCGTAGCTCAGCCCTTTCTCTCTGTTTCCCAACCCACTACTTTCTCTCCGTTTCCCGACCAAGTTCACTGTCTCTGTTTCCCACCTCAGCCCTTTCTCTCTGTTTCCCAACTCAGCCCTTTCTCTCTGTTTCCCAACTCAGCCCTTTCTCTCTGTTTCCGAACTCAACCCTTCCTCTCTGTTTCCTAGCTCAATCCTTTCTCTCTGTTTCCCAACTCAGCCTTTTCTCTCTGTTTCCCAACTCAGCCCTTTCACTCTGTTTCCCATCCTTGTCCTTCCATCCTTGTCCTTCCATCCTTGTCCTTCCATCCTTGCCCTTCCATCCTTGTCCTTCCATCCTCATCGTCTCACATGCTCATCCCTCCGAATCCAACTGCTACGGCCTCACATGCCCATCCAGTCTCATCCAATTGCCTCACATACTCAACCCTTCCAGTCATACTTCCTCACTTGCACATGATTGTATGTGGATGGGAAGGGATGAGCATGTGGGCAGTAGTATGGGAAGGGATGAGCATTTGTCGCAGAATGACAGGAATAATTAGAGCATGTGGGTAAATCAGAATGAAAGGGATGAGCATGTGGGCAGTTTAATGGGAAGGGATGAGCATGTGAGGCGGAATGACAGGAAGAATTGGTCTTGTGATATGGGGTATACGGTATGATTTGAGGCAATATGGTTGGAAGGGATGGGAAGGGATGAGGGAGGCTGTGAGGGAGTTGGATGGGAAGGGATGGGAAGGGATGAGCATTCGAGGCAGGAGTGTTGAAAGGGATGATCACGTGAGGAAATATGATGGGAAGCAATGAGCATGTGAGAAAATAGGATTGAAATGGATGTGCATGTGGGCCAGTAGGATTGAAAGGGATGGTCATGTGAGGAAATAGGATGGGAAGGGATGAGCATGCGAGGAAATAGGATGGGAAGCAATGAGCATGTGAGAAAAAGAGGATGGGAAGGGATGAGCATGTGAGGGAATATGATGGGAAGCAATGAGAATGTGAGAAAAATAGGATGGGAAGGGAAGGGATGAGCTTGTGAGGAAAGATGATGGGAATTGTTGAGCATGTCAGACAGTGGGATGTGAAGGATGAGCATGTGAGAAAATGGGATTGAAATTGGATGAGCATGTGAGGGAGGAATGTTGTAAGGGATGATCACGCGAGGAAATAGGATGGGAAGGAAAGAGCATGAGGCAGTAGGATGGGAATGGATGACCCTGGGAGGCAGATGCATTGAAAGTTCTAAGCATCCAGTGATTCGAAGTGATGAGCATGCTGAAATAGCATTCTTGCTATTTTAAAATTAATTATTGATCATTCATAGCAAGTACCGTACTAACATGTCCCTTGCGCCCTGGATATTTCCACAGAATTACTACGGCTCTAGCACGTCCTCTAGTTAGCCTTCCTACAAGGAAAGTTATCTCCCTAAAGATATCTTCCAAAGTTCTAGCGCCCACAGCAGCAGGACCCACGTATAGCCATGCCGCTCCTACAAGCACCGTCACTACAGTCACTTGTCCTGATTCCAAGACTGACGCCCTCCTAGAGAATCCCGTCTGCTACGGTCACAAGCGGTATGGAGCGGTTCCAAGCGGCTTCAGGAGAGGATGAGCCAGGAGTTGACTTCAGCAAACGCAGCGGCGGTGTAGGAGGCGCCGTTGGAGATGATCCCAGGGTCCACCCAGTCGGCGCGCGACCCCTTGGCGCCCGGGCCCTTGCTGCCGGCCTCCGCCAGAAACATGCAGCTGCCCTCGTTCCACGACAGCCACCCGTCCGGCTGGATGACGGCCGGCAGCACGACGTTCACGAAGACCGTGAACGCGCACTTCTTCCACGGCCGCCCCAGGTACGCCTTCGCCGCGCCCTTGTCCGCGCTCACCACCGAGTCGCGAATCACGATCCCCGTCGGCGTGTCCTTGGCGCGGCCCGACGCGGTGAGCGTGATGAACGACTTGCTGGGATGCAGCTGGATCTTCGCGTTCTGAATGACGGCCGCCGCGTCGCCGAAAATGAAGTCTTGCGTGCCGCCGATGTAGCAGTTGGAGTAGAACTGCCGCCCCGCGTCCACGTACAGCGTATCTTGCGACCCTTCGAACGCGCAGTCGATCGCCGCCGACTGGTCGCCTGTAGCGCGGAACGCTACAGCCTGGTGGTTCTCGGGGCCGGCAGTGTTCACGAATTTGATTCCGAACGCGACAAAACGGTCGCTGTTCACCCCGACCGTGGCTGAATCGAACGTGCTCGACCCGCTGCCGTAGCTCTCGTCGTACGTGATCACGGTAGCGCCGGCGCCGGCCCCGATAAGGATAATATCGGGGGTGTCGATGACGACCTGCTCCCTGTAGGTGCCGGCGGGGATGTAGATCACGTATTGGCTGCCGCCGGGAGCGGCGTCAATCGCGGACTGGATCTTCCCTTTCACGACGGCGTTGGCCTTCAGGCCCTTGCTCGCGCGAATGGGACCTGAAGCGGGTTTCACGCCGCTGCCCTTGCTCTTCCCCTTACTCTTGTTGTTCTTGTTCTTGCTCTTGCTGCTGCCGCCGCCGCTGCCGCCGCTGCTGCCCTTGTTCTTCTTGCTCTTCTTGTCCTTCTTATCCTCGTCGTCGTCATCATCATCGTCGTCGTCGTCGTGACGGCGTCGCAGCTCCCGCCGTGCGACGTAGTCGTGAACGCCGTCGCCCAGGGCGTTCAGCTCCGCCTGAAGCTGTCGCAGCTGTGCGACAAAGTCGTCGTCCAGCCACTTGGCGCCTCCTGCGACATCAGCGGGCTCGGACGACGCGAGCTTGCGACCCAACTCGGGCGGGCCTGCTGCAGCCTTTTTGGCGATAGCGACCACGGCTTCGAGCGTGTCGCTCGCCTTGTTGGCGACGGTCTGCGACAGGAGTAGGAGCAATTGACATTTGAGACAAAGCGTGTGCCTACTAAACTTGCTGTTTCTAACAAGAGCGATGCTGTTTGTTTTTATTCTGACGACATTGCCGCGTTTGTTCTTGTAAGAGTCGAAGAAGCGGTGAACAGCCCGCGTGGCAGCTGAATGAATTGAAGAGGGCGGGGGGCGAGTGGGGGGTGGGTGGGGGGGCAGGTGAGAGGGCAGGAACGAGGGTGAAGGCATGAGGGACGGGGGGAGAGGGGCTAACCTCGAGATGCACGAATGCCGGCTGGAACGTGGCTGAGGGTGCAAGCGTCTTGAACCCGTCGACGCAGTTGCCCACTTGCGTACTGGCGGCGGACAGCCAGAACGCGCGATCGTGCTGCGCGCTGTCCGTGTCGATCGCGTCCAACGTGCGGCCCAGGTAGCGCAGCGCGATGCCGCCCTGCGTGCTGCAGTCGTCCGCCACGACATTGATGAAGTGATTCTGCCTCACGTTGGCGCGCTTGATCTCCGCGGCGGCATCGATGATCGCGGAGACTTGCGCCGCCACCGCGGAGACCATGGCGGCCGTGACTTGGTCCGCGGTTTGCGGGATAACGCTGAGTTGCCTGCGTGCTGCGCGGAACTCTTGCGAGCAGAGGGTCGCGTTCGACACGCCGCTGCAGAGGGTAGGGTGGGAGATGACGAGGTAGTTGTCGGCCATGTAGCAGCAGGACACGATGGCGAGTGCCACGCCGATTCCCGCAACGGCCAATTTGGCTGCACGTTGAACCCCCATGTTGGATACTACGAAGTGAGGTGCTATTTCCTCTGTCGACTAGAGAAGGAATCTAGGAGCTTGAAATCTGAACGGGAGTGATGTCTAAACTCGACTAGGAGATGTGAATACAACAGTTTCTTTGAGCTTTCATGGAATCTCTGTGCTATTTTATGTTGCTCGGCTTTGCTGTGGTGGTTGTTTCGCGATTCGAAATAGTCGCAAGATAAAAAATCGTCGGACTCAGCAAGGGTGGGCGTTTCGGGAATTGGGAGGAGGGGACGGTTGGTTTGTCGCGGGTGGGACTGGTGGGGGTCGTGATTACAGAGAAAGCCGAGCCGCAGGGGGCTGTGATGCTGACTTTGATTGGTCAATCCCCCCCTAATCTCACTCGAGGTGCGCAAAAGCTCCTGAAAGCTCCTAATGCCCCCCTAACGAAATTCTGCGTAGTCGCTAGAGTCTGTCGCTAGGCATTGTCTGCGAACTTCGTGGCACTCTTTTACATCCCATTCGTTTGTGTGTTTCTCCTCCCAAAAGATTACTGGTCTGGGTTGTTCGGCCCTCATCGTGTCGCTCCAACTAGCGCTGTAGTACAAACGAGCGGAAACAACGGTTGGATGCACTTCCGATTGTAAAGAATGAGCGTTTATGTATGATATGACCCTTTGAATGGTATGACTCGATACACAGCCTCACACCCTTTTTTAACCCGTAGTTTTACACATTCACTCACTCTTGTCATAAAAAAATGATTAGCCAAGTGTTCCCTTATCGAATTGTTATCGCACCTTCTCCTGCCACACGCATGTGAGAGCATATCCTGGTTTACACGTTACATCCGTATTCCAGATTCTAATCATGGAAGCACATGAAATCGCGTCATGAAGCACGTGTCAATATGGGATTTATTTTCTTAGCAGGGCTTTTGAGGCGCCTCTGAAGGAAACCAGCATCAGTTGGATGTACAAATCAGATCAGATCAGATCAAACAGAAGCGTGAACAGTAGGTTCGTCCTTAGCAGGGCTTCCTTCCGCTTCCTCCTCTCCATCATCACCACCCTCCTCCCCCTCACCCTCTCTCACTGCTTTCCAGCATGGCTTATTCGCCCCCCCTATGCGCGCCTCTGCTGCCATTGGAACCCCTGCGGAAGGGAGGAGAGGAACAGGAGAGAGGGAGACCGCAGCACAACCAGCTTATGTATGACTAAGAAGACAGATTGACCTCCAAACCCAGCCTCTGGTCCCACTGCCTTCCAACACGGTTTTTGAGGCGACTCAAAAAGAGGGAGATCACAGCACAACCAGCTTATGAATGACTTTGACACAGTGACACACGGACTGGCTTCTAAGCCCCGCCTCTGCCCTAACTGCCTCCCAGCACGGCTTATTCCCTCCTATGCGCGCCTCTGCTGCCACTGGAACCTCTGGGAGGGAGAGGGAAGGAAGGTGACAAAAAGGGGCTGCACAAATGGAATGTGAAAACATGATCTCTGTTTTGACCTTGAAGCCCCTGTTTGTGAAACACAGTCTCTGTTTTTTTCAAACATGGATAAATCCCTTCCTTCCTCCCTCCACCAACCAACTGCAGCACTCTCCCTTTCATTACACTCACCTCCCTTTCATTACACTCACCTCCCTTTGATTACACTCACCCTCCTGGTGAAATATCCCCCACACTGTTGCTGTGCGTCCCGTCTGCACAGGGACACCAGAAAATATGTGATTATAACAGGTGAACCGGGGTGGAGGGAATGGAGGGGAAAGGGGGGCGAGTGACAGTAACAAATGTGATTGTAGTAAAGTGAGGGACAGGAAAATGGGTACCAGGAAAAAAGAGGGGAACAGAGAGGGTAGAGGGCAAGAAAAGAAAGGCAAGGCTCAAAAGGAGGGCATGGGGGTTGGCTGGTGGGAGGGGTGGGGGGTGGTGGGGAGTGGGGTGGGGGGGGAGGAGGGAGGGAAAGATACTCGCAGTACGAGTATCTGAGACAGGAAAAAGCGGCTCTTTCCAAAAACTATGCAGCAGGATTTCTCAGGTTTTCCAAAACTAGGAGCGAAAGCACGAGGATTCTGAACAAACCTTGGCTATTTGAACTCGCGAAACTTCGTAGAAGGTGCCTTCCTGCCAATGCCGCTTCGCCACCCTAACGCCTTGGCCCCACGCCGGTCGCCGCCATAGGATATCCGCCAGATTCTGCTTGCGCCGCTTCTTAACTTCCACTTGCTTCAGAACCTTCGCGTCGGTTTCCTGAGAGCCCTCTGAAGTGAATTCAGTTTGATTTTGCGAGGCAGAAGATTCTTTTCCTAGCGACGGGCTGCCCGGAAAAAGCGGGAGCGGTTTCAGCCCCAAGCTAAGCAATAGCGAATCGGCGCCGGATACTTCGATGGGTTTCGTCGCGGCGGCAGATCCGGCGGCTAATGCGGCGGGAGAAGCGGCGGGGGAAGCGGAGAAGGTCGAATGGACGGAGGTGGATGCGTATCGGCAGGAAAGGAAACGCCGCGCGGCAGGAAGAATGCGCGGCGGCGGGTGCACTGATGCGGGAGCTCCGGCGGAGGCTACGGGCGGTTCGGCTAGAGGGGGGGAGATCGGTGCGGGGCAGAGGCCAGGCGGCGGAAGGCCGTTGCTGGGAAGGCGGAGCGAGCTTTGCGAGCTTTGCGCGCTTTGCGCGGAGAAGCCTGTGCGCGGAAGCCCATGGCGCAAGGCCGCAGTTGCCAGGCGGCGCAAGTCATCGGCACGAGGCATTTCGGGTCCGCGGGGTGCTCCGCTGAAAGCGGCGGAAACTGCGGAAGGAGGTGTGACAGAACAGGATGGGACGAGGATACAGAGGCGGCAGAAGGAGGAAAACGTGGAAATCAGGGAGTTCAATGAACTCGATATAGTCCAACTAGCGTAACACTCGGTGTACTGAGATTTGATCAAAATAAATCAAAATAAAACCAGCATACGATTCAACAAGCGACTTTTTTTTTTTTCAGGAAAGTAGACATATAATCTAATCTGGTCTCAGATATGCACTACAAGCGAGAATGCTCTCCATAACTATATAAGTTCATTACAACAATACAATGGCAAGTTTTGAACACACTTATATCTTCCTGTTGCTGCTCTTGCTCTCTCTACTTCCTCGCACTCGTGCCAATTGCGACCATCTTGCCATATCGCCTGCATTAGCGTAGCGATACACTCGAACACTTGCACCCCTACCATTTTCTCCCCATCACACTCTTGCCAACTCTTGCCAGCTGTGACCATCCCGCCATAGCGCCTGCATTAGCGTAGTGATACGACACACTCGAACACTTGCACCCTACCATTTTAAGGGTTCTTTCTCTCTCTCCCCATCACACACCAGCCAGCTGAGACCATCCGGCCATGAACCCTGCAGGAGCATAGCGATACTCTCGAACATGGCATGCTGCTGAGTATAACTGCCCCAGAAGCACCTCTACATCCGCTGCTGCTGCTGCTGCTGCTCTCACTCTCTCTCCCTCCACACACCAGCCAGCCAAGACCATCTTGCCATGAACCCTGCAGGAGCATAGCGATACGCTCAAACACTTGCACCCTACCATTTAACAGTTCTCTCTTTCTCTCTCCCTCACACGTTTCATCTCTCCCTCCCATCACACGCCAGCCAGCTGAGACCATCCTGCCATGTCACCCGCAGGAGCATAGCGATACGCTCTAACACGGCCTGCCAGTGATAATGGCCCCAGAGGCACCTCTATATCCGCCCCTGGTGCTGCTGCTGTTGTGGTGGCAGCAGCATTGGGAGCAAACCCTGAAGAGGCATAGGCACCACCAGCACCAGGTGCAGCAAAACCACCAGTAGCAGTAGCAGCGGCTGCATTTGAAGCAACAGAACCGCCAAAAGCAGATGAGAACATAGCAGCTGCAGCAGAGGTAGCAGAGGAGGGGTTAGAACCAGGGGCAGGGGAGAGAGAGGAGGAGGAAGCGGCAGAAGAGGAAGGGGTGGTGATGGTGCTGGTAGAATCTTCTTTGGAAGAATAGAGATCGCCTATGAGCTCAATGGAAAGGATTCGGATGCCCGCGATTGGTCGAGAGAAGTCGAAATAGAGAGGCGTGTTGGGCCGGGCAGAGGGCAGAATAAATTCCGTGATGACTGTGGCAGGGCCAAAGGAATCCTGTGAGGGGGAAGGAAGTAGGGGAGAGGAGAGAAACGGGGAGGGGGTGGGGGTGGGGGTGGGGGTGGTGGTGGTGGTGGGGAAGAGAGGTTTGAGACGTCTCACGAATGAATTTCGCAATGGTCAAAGTAGGGCCAAAGGAGTGTTGTGAGGAGAGTTGGAGTGGAGAGAGCGGGTGGGGAGAGGGGACTGAGAAAAGGAGCGAATGGGTGGAAGAAGGGGAGTGGCGGGGGGGAGATAAAGGAGAGATGAGGCTTGTAAGGTGATCTAAGAATTGAAATAGGAAGTACTGCAGAGGAAGCGAGCATTCACACTACTCAAATAGATAGTGGGGGAGGGGTGGAATTAAAGTAGAGGGAGAGTACTGTGTTACTGAATACCCACCTGCCGGGCGGATACCCTGAGTCGGAACGGGACAACGAACACCGCCCACTCATCTATGAACCCGCCCCGCGCCGCCCGAGCCAGCGGGCCGCCGTCAGCTGCCCCGGGCAGCGAAAGAAACATTCCAGCGGAACGGTCCAATGGGAGCGCGTCAAGTCGGATGCCCGAGATTGGAGGAGAGGAGAGGGGCAGGAGAAGTTCCAGGATCCTTCCTCCTGCCCACACTCTTTCCCCTTCCACTGGGGTCTGAGAGAGAAAGGGTTATGACAAAGAGGGTGATAACAGGGAGGGGAGGAGGGGGAGGAGAGCGGAGTCTGTTGTAAATTCCCCCAAAACGCCTACAGAAAGTTAGCGAGTCCTTCCTCCTGCCCACACTCTCTCTCCCTCCACGGGGGTCTGAGAGAGAGAGGTTGATAACAGGGGTTGGGGGAAGGAAGGGGAGAGGAGTCTGTTGTGTATTCCCAGAACGCGCCTTTTGAGGTAGAAAACAGACTCAAAAGGCACCTCAAGAAGTTCTAGGATCCTTCTTCCTGCCCACACTCGCTCCCCTTCCACTGGGGTCCGAGGGAGAGGGATTGTGAGGGTTATGGCAGGGAGGAACAGAAGGAGGGATGACAGGGGCAGAAGAGGGTATTTCTGAGAAAAATTACAATACACCGACAACAAGAAGTTCCAAGATCCATCCACACTCTCTCCCCCTTCCACTGGGGCCTTTGAAAGGAAGAGAAATCAAACAAGGAATAACGACAGGGGAAATGTGTGTAAGAAGAAGAAAAGAAACTGCATGTGCTTACAGGATAAAGAGGTGACTTTGAGTCGACTCAAAAGTCACCTGGAATCAAAAGTCACCTCAAAAGAAACTGCATGTGCTTACAGAATAAAGTTCAGGTTACTGCTGTAGCCTGTAGCGCACTCACACTGCTGTAGTCTGTAGCGCACTCACACTGCTGTAGCATACTGCCGTTAGCTACGGTATAGCTCGGCACACGTACCCGCGATCGGCTCATGGTAGCTGGGGCCTCGAGAAACTGCTGATACTCCCACCGACTCGTGCCACCAGCAGCAGCACCGACAGCACCAGCAGCACCTGCAGCAGCAGAAACACCTGCAGGCCCCATAGTCCCAACAGCAGCACCAGAGGCACCACCAACGACTGCTCCCATGGGCACAGCAGCAGCCCCACTGGAGGTCACGGGATCAATTCCTGTCGGGTCACCAAATGTTTTCTGCCCGTAAACGCGGATTCTGCGAGCCCAGATGCAGGATGCTGGAGTGCCCGGCTGGCGGACTTCGGGCAGGAGAAATTTCAGCCAGATGATCCGACAGGGGGCGGCGGTCAGGGTGTAGGATAAGATCAGCTCGGATTCGGGATTTGATTTGGTGTCTGAACGGGCGGCAGCTGCTGTGGAGGGGAGGTCCCAGAGGCCTATTGTGGTACGTTCTGATTGGTCGATGGTGGTGCTGAGGGAAATGCGGACCTGCACCAAGGAGGAGAGCGAAGGAGAGGAAAGGAGAGGGAAGGAGAGGGAAGGAGAGGGAGGGGAGAGGGATGGAGGAAAGGAGCGAAGTTTAGGAGATTTGACTGAACTTATGAGAAGTCGCAGAAACGAAGCTAGCCTGAGCCGTCGACTCAAAGACATTCGAGATATTTCAGAAATGTCTCGGAATTGCAGCACAACACGAGTGAACGTGCAGCTTGCCTTGGGGGTGCGATGGGGGACGAAAGAAGCATACGTATAAAGTTTCGACCTGGATCCAGCAGGTAACTCGTCCTACTCCAACAGAAATGTCTCGGAATTGCAGCACGACGCGAGTGAACGTGCAGCTTGCCTTGGGGGTGCGATGGGGGACGAAAGAATCACCTTGGGGGTGTGATGGGGCGTGTACTGAGGCAGGCCCGAGTGCAGCACAACGCGGGAGACAAGTGCGGGTGCGGAGAGTACTATCGCGATTTCCACAGCAGTGAGGTCGGAGGGAGCTTGCCAGACGTGAGAGAGAGGAGCGGGATGAGCTGAGGGTGGGAGGAGCAGGGAGTTGGCTGGGGCTGCTGATGTGCACGTGGGAACCTGCATGTGTGTGCGGGAAGGAAGAGAGGGGACAGCAGCAGTAAAGGTGACGGACAGGTGTTGGTGCAGAGAGTACTATAGCGATTTTCACAGCAGTGAGGTCGGAGGGTGCTCGCCAGACGTGAGAGAGAGGGAAGGTTGAGGAGGCGGGGAGGAGGAGAGAGCTGGCGGGGGCTGCTGAGGCGCACGAGGGGACCTGCATGAAGGCGGGGGAAGGAAGAAGAAATTTGTTGCAGCGTATGTTTTTTGAGAATTCTCAAAAAACATGACCTGCATGAAGGCGGGGGAAGGAAGAAGGGGGGGGGAGTAGAGGTGAGACACAAGGGCAGGCGTGGAGAAGACGCGGGGAGGAGGAGAGAGCTGGCGGGGGCTGCTGAGGCGCACGAGGGGACCTGCGTGTGTGTGCGGGAAGGAAAAGGGGAGGAGGGACAGTAAAGGTGAGAGACAGGATGGACGGTGCGCATGTAGAGCATGGTGGTGATTTCCCACAGCAGCACGATGCCATAACGTACCATGAACAGCAGCAGTCCAGCTCTTTTTAGGTGACTCAGAATCTACTTTGATGCCAGCACAGCGTTCACGGTACGTTATGGCATCAAAATAGATTCTGAGTCACCATGAACAGCAGCAGCACGTACCGAGAACAGCAGCCCAGCGTGTGGCAGCTCTGCCAAAGACATTTCCCCCACCCCACTCTCTCCCCCGTACCCTCCTCTCGACATCACTGGTACTACAGGTGGCTCGTGCCACTCCCCCCCATCCCTCCCTTCCTCCCCCCGCCTCCCTGCCCTCCCTTCCCTCCTCTCCATTCTCGTCTCGTTGCTCCTCACTCCATCCAAACCGGCACAGCCCCAGTCCCGAGCCTCAGCCACGGCTCTCCCGAGCCTGTCGCACCGCCGCCGAGCCTGCAGCTGGCGCACCCGGTGCAGGAGCAGAGCATTGGAAACAGCAGGAGGGCAGCACTCCCGGCATATGGGAGCATCTAGAGGTCCGGGCCTCCCAGGCCCTTCCGTTGCTCCTCCTCCTTCTAACCCTTCTCCCCCCACTCCTCCTCCTGCTCCTCCTGCTCCTACTCCTGCTGATGAGGAAGACGAGGAGCTTCCTGGAAGCTTCCAGCCTCCAGCCGAAGCTAAGCCGGAAAGGGAAGACGCAGAGCCACTTTTGATCACCTTACCCAAACCACCACCAATACCGCCGCCACTGCCGCCGCCGCTGTTGCTGCTGTTACCACCCACACTGATGATACTGTTGGTGCTGATGCTCCGAGTGCCACCCGCACCAGTGATACTCCCATTGCTGCTAGCCCCGGCGAGAAACCCGCTTCCCGGACCTGCCAGGCAGGCTCGGCAGGCCCGCCGGCGGCACCAGCTGCAGGCTGGGAGGCCCCGCCGAAACTCCATGTCCACATCTTCCGAGCCGATTCGTGACGTCCGGTCACTGGTTCGTCCCGTGGTAATGCTTCCCGAGCCTCCCGCACCGAACCTAACATCACAGTTTGAGCCGATACAGTCCAAACCAGGACTAACACACCCCCAACCTGTGTACTGGCCGTGCGGGGCCCATACATGAGCACACAACCTACCCTTGCCCCGATTACCCAAGCTGCCCTTATCTCCCTCCTCTCCCTCCTCTCCTTCCTCTCCCTCACTCCCCTCCTCTCCTTCCTCTCCCTCATATCTCTCATCTCCCAAACCGACCAACAGCCCGTTTCCTCTCCACCAGTCACATTCCTGCTCCACCTCCCCTCTGCCATTAGAACCGTTTCTTATTCCTTCCTCCCCCACCCTCTCATTGCCCCTCCCCTCCCCGCCCACCCCCCACTCGCATCCATCCCCTTCTCCTCCCCTCGCCCTGAACCCCATCGCCCCTATTTCTGCATCCTCTCGCGCAGTGAGGCACGCGGATGCCAGGCTGGCAGCCAGCTGGCGGCATAGCAGGGCGTCGGGCACGCTGACGTGGCGGTTTGGGTCGAGGAGGGGTGTGGACGTTGTTGGGAGGAAGGGGGAGCGGGAGAGGGAGGAGGAGGAGGTGGAGGATAAGGAGGTGGAGGGGGGAGAAGTGGGGAGGAGGGAGGCAAGGATGGAGTCTCGTTGGGAGGCGGAGAGGGAGAGGCGCAGGCGAGCAATCTCAAGCTCCATGGCTGTTGGGAAGTCGATGGATAGGAGTTGCTGGTTGGGTGGGACGGAATGGGGGAGCGGGGAGGGGGACAGGGGGGGAAAAGGGGGAAAGGTGTGTTCTGTGAGGCGCAGGCGAGCAATCTCAAGCTCCATGGCTGTTGGGAAGTCGATGGAAGCAAGCGAATGGCTCTGTTGGGTGGGGACAAAATCGGAGGAGTGGGAAGAAGGGACAGGTTTGGTGTTGTGGCGTTTCAAAGAGCTATTTTTCAAGCTTCGTGGCCGTTGGGAAGTCGATGAACTGGAGTTGGATGGATGGGTGGAACCGATTGGGGAAGGAGGGGTGGAAAAGGGTAAAGACGGGAATAGAAGTGGACTTTCTGAGAGGAAATGACGGAAAGTGGGGTTTCGAACGAAAGGTAGATACGAAAGAACAAAAGTATTCATAACGAGTAGTCGGATAGAATAAAGCATGATGCTTCGATGGGTTTCATTCCTATGCTCTCCAGGAAGTACCTTCTTGGGCACCAAAACTTTTTGTAGCAGCTGCCCAAAAGCAGCAGCACCCCATTGCTCACACACGTCTTCACTGACCGCCCGGGCTATTCTCACTATCCTCTCCACCTCCTCCTCCTCCCTCTCCTCTTCCTGCCCCTTCTCCCCCACCCCTTCCCTCCCACCTCCCCTCCCTCCTCCCCCTTCCCTTTCACCTAGCCCCACTGCTACACCTGTTCCAGTCACATGCGCGCCAACACCCCGCCTCCCTTGGGAGACACCTTCCCCTTCAAGAGAATCAAACACACCGCTTTGTTGAGAACGCTCGTAAGACTTTTGAGAGCTCTCAGAGTTGACCCCTGTGTAGCTCCCCTGCTCCCTTGCTGCCTGCTGGGAAGCAAATATACTGCTCCCCTGCTGCTGCTCCCTTTGATTGAGCCCTTCTGGACTGTGGGGTGGGGATGACGGTGAGTCAGCTTCTGATGCCATGAGAGGGTGCCACGTGGCAGCTGCTGGTTGGCTGACTGCCGGGGGGTTAAAGGAGGCCCACTCGAGATCGGCAGTGGTAGAAGGAGCGAACACTGCTGCTGACACTCCCGCTGCCCCTGCTGCTGACACTCCCGCTGCCCCTGCTGCTGACACTCCCGCTGCCCCTGCTGCTCCTGATGTCGCTACTGCTGCTGGTGCTGTCACTTCTGCTACTGTTTCTGCTGAATTTGTGGGCGGTGCATCAAAGGACATCCACCCACCAGGCTGGCTGCTGCTGCTGCTCGCTGTGATGCCGCTGGCATTAGTGCCGCTAAAAGTTGTGCTAGTATCGAACGATTCCCACCCACCAGGTTGCTGGCTGCTGTCTGCACCACTGGCTGCACTGAAAGGATTGTTGGAAGCAGTATTGGCAGCACCGCTGCTGGTGCTGCTACTGGTTTGAAAGCCCCCATCACCAAAGGCCCCAAACGACTCCCACCCCCCTGGTTGACTCCCACCCATTCCTGCTGCTGCTGCTGCTGCTGTTGCTCCTGTTGCCACCGTCCCTGCTATTGCTGCTGATCTTCCTCCTGTTGCTGTGCCTGCAGCTGCCCCTGGTCCCGGTCCCACTCCATTTGCTCCCACGCTCAGCCCTTCCACCAAGCCTACCAGATTAGCCTCGGCAGCAGGTCCCAGAGCTTCTGAGCCAGGTCCGGGAGCAGGCTCGGCGAAAGGGTTGGTGGACGAAGCAAACGGGTCGGTGAATCCAGAACTGAATGGATCAACCTGACCAGTTGGACCTGCACCAGAAGCAGACAAAGATGCCGGCCCAAAGGGGTCAAAACCTGCAGCAATCCCACCAGCAGAAGCAGTGGCGGCTGTAGCAGTTGTAGCAGTTGTAGCTGCAGGGGAGATTGAGATCCAGCCACTAGAAGTCAAATCTGTTGACGTATCAGCTGCAGCGGTGGCAGCGGTGGTGCTCGTGCTTGTACTGAATGTGCTTGTAACGGGTACAGAGAAGAAATCATCCATGAGGTTCGCCGTGCCCGAACTTGTAGCCTCCATAGCCTGCATCATGCGGTTCGGTGAGTTCATCAGCTCCGGAACCTGGCTCGGCGCTGGCGAACCTGGTGCAGCTGAGCCTGGCGCATCAAGTGACTCAAAATCAAGAAAATTCCGAGGTTCGGAAGGAAGTGGGTGTGTGGTAGGGTGTGAGGGAGCAAGAGGGGCAGAGCGAGGGGGGGGCATGGGAATGGCATCGTCCATAAGATTGGCCAATGGCGAGCCGCCACCTGGCATCCATGTCGCTGTCGGTGCGGCTGCAGCTGTAGCAGCTGCAACAGCAGAATCTGCTGCGACTGTAGCAATAGGCTCAGCAGCAGCAGTAGGGTCGGTGGTAGGAACAGCAGGAGGAGGAGAGGGGAGAAGCGAGAGGATGGATGGACAGGAACGGTGGGAGGAAGAGGAGGAGGAGGAGGAGGAGGAGGAGGAGGAGGAGGAGGAGGAGGAGGAGGAGGAGGAGGAGAGAGAGGGAATGCGCTGAAAGTCATGGCGTGTGGGCGCTATGCCTAGGATCTCGATCTGTTGTCGGGGGGGGGGAGGGGGATAACATGCAAAAAGGAGAAGTGTGGGTTTGCTGAGTGTGGGATAAAATACACCTATGGAGGAGGAAGAGACGGAGGGAATGCGCTGAAAGTCACGGCGTGTGGGTGTTATGCCTAGGACCTCGATCTGTTATCGAAAGGACGGGGATAATACGCAAAGAAGAGAAGCGTGGTTGTGCTGATTGTGATGCATGCACAACTACGGAGAGGGGAGGAGGGAGGAAGTGGAGGCGGAAGGAGAGGCAAGGTACTGAAAGTCATGATGTGTGGGTGCTAATGTATGTTTTTTGAGGATTCTTAAAAAAAAAAAAACATGATGTGTGAGTGCAAATGCCCAAAACCTCCTCCACCTGTTGAAATGGGTGGGGGTAGACACAAGGGGAAAGCAGAAGGCGGATAGAAGGTGAGAGAGACAAGGCATGGGGTCGGCACATGTTATGTTACAGTGTTACCACAAACACAACAGACGCGGTGACCAGTGCACCTGTCCAAGAGTCCTGGGGGAACCAGAGCTGCCAGCACCACCACCGCCAAATGCAGCAGGCGGAGATTAGCAGGCGAGGGGGGCAAACCCTAGACGGATGTTACAGTGTTACAACAACCACACCAGGTGCAGCAACCCTCTTACCTGTCCCAGAGTCATTGGGGAACCGGAACTGCTGGTACCGCCACCGCCACCGCCGCTGGCACCGCCAAAAGCAGCAGATGCAGCAGCAGGCGGGTAGAAGGTGAGCGAGACAAAGCGGGTCAAGAAGTCGATTCTCCCATCGCCCTCCTCTGTGTAATCGTACAGCAGAGACGAGGACACCGCCCCTCCCCTCTCATACACACCCTGCTGCTGCTGCTGCTGAAAACCAGTTCCCTGCTGCTGCTGATACACACTGCCTTGCTGCCCTATATATCCCTCCACAAACACTGGGGCTGAGCCAGACCCGGCTCCCCCATAGCCCAGCGTCCCCCCGGTGGTTACCCCTGAAGCAGGAGCAGCAGGAGTGGAAGCAGAAGGACGGGTGGGCTTGGGAGGAGGGAGGGGGTACTGCAGGACTGTGCCGCTGGCGCAGCGGGGGATGGTGAGACCCTGGTAGGGGCGTGAGTGGGGAGTGGAAACGAGAGTGGAATCAAGAGTGAATGAGAGAGAAACACGTGAACGAGGTGATAGTAGTGGCATGACAGGGAGCAGGGAGGGGGTACTGCAGGACTGTGCTGCTGGCGCAGCGGGGGATGGTGAGACCCTGGTAGGGGCGTGAGTAGAAATACGGATGGAAAGAAGGCAACACACATGAAGCAAGTGAGAGAGTGATAAAGAATAATGGCAGGACAGGGAGCAGGGAGGGGGTACTGCAGGACTGTGCCGCTGGCGCAGCGGGGGATGGTGAGGCCCTGTTTGTGTGGGGTAAGAGCTGAGTCAAGAGTGGGAGAGAATCAAAGACAGATGAATGAAGGCAGGTAGAGTACGTGGTCCTTCCCTTCCCACGAGCAAGATGACTTTTGAGTCGACTCAAAAGTCACCTCGTTACCATGGCACACGACACATTCTCTACAAGAATCAAAGACAGATGAAAGAAGGCAGGCAGAGTACGTGGTCCTTCCCTTCCCTTCCCACGAGCACATCCAAACGAGGAGGAGGCGGAGCGAGGGAGGGTGTCGTCGGCGAGTCAAAGGGTCACCTCAAAGGCAGGCAGAAAACCAGTCACTCACTTCGACAACCAGAAGGCAGAAGGCTCACCTCGACAATGAGATGCAGGGAGTCAATAGTCCTTCCCACGCGCACATCGAAGCGGGGCGGAGCGAGGGAATCATCGGCACCATGAGCAACAGTGAGCAGCACGTGTAGCGAGGTTGTTTTTGAGACGTCCCAAAAACAACATCGAAGCGGGGCGGAGCGAGGGAATCATCGGCACCATGAGCAACAGTGAGCAGCACGTGGGTGGGTGACACGTGGGCAGCGCCACACTCACATGCATGCAGAGGGCACGCTGAGGGCGCAGGGCGGAGGGCGGAGGGCGGAGGGCGCAGGGCGGAGGGCGGAGGGCGGAGGGCGGAGGGCGCAGGGCGGAGGGCAGAGGGCAGAAAGGCAGAGGGCAGAGGGCAGAGGGCAGAGGGCAGAAGGGCAGAGGGCAGAGGGCAGAGGGCAGAGGGCAGAGGGCAGAGGGCAGAGGGCAGAGGGCAGAAGTCAGAAGGGAAGGCTCACCTCAGCAACTAGATGCAGCGAGTCGATGGTCCTTCCAACGCGCACATCAAAGCGGGGCGGAGCAAGAGAGTCGTCTGCCCCATGGGCGACAGTGAGTAGCACGTGGGTGACATGGCAGGGCAGCGCCACACTCACATGCACCTCCACCAGTGGCACCCACCCCGGTACCACCCACACCATCCCCTTACTGCCCGCACCGGCACCACCGGCACCAGCACCGGCGGCAGCACCGGCACCATACGAACTGATCAGCGCGTCGGTCCGGTACAGGCTTGGGAACAGGCTCGGGACCGGTCGGAGGACGTGCGCGTGCCCCGAGCCTCCTCCGGGGGAGGACGGCAGGGAGACGGTCAGGAGCGGGCGGTCGGGCAGCGCGAAGGAAAAATACTTGTGCCGGCGCAGCCCAAGAAAAACCTCGAGCTGCCTCTGCCTGGTAGCATCCCAAACCAGGTTCAAAAACCGCCTCTGGAGGGAAATTCCGATGTTTGTCGCGCTGGCGGCCGCGCCTTTCTTGGCCTTGCTAGGATCGCTGCTGAAAATGTGGATGATATGGGAGTGCATGGCCCGTGAGCCGGTGTAGAGCGTGGCGTGCACGTCACCAGCTATTGAAAAGAGGTCTGCTACGGCTGTGACGGCGGATGGGAGCACTGTGGCTTGGAATTCCCGCACACTCATGTCGAGAGAGGCCCAGGCGTGAGAGAGAGTCGAGGGGAGCGGCGGGTGCTGATTCTGCTGCTGCTGCTGCTGCGAATTGGGAAAGGAGGAGGAGGAAGAGGAAGTGGGGAAGGTAGCAACGCGAGGAGGGGGCGGGCAGGGGTGGGTCCAAGTGGTTTTGCGGGTGTTATGGTCGATGTAGAACACCTTGCTGCGAGACGGGTCTCGCCGCATCTCCCACCCGGGAGGCAGCGCTGCTGCTAGTGCATCCTCCTCCTCCTCCTGTGTTGGCGCCCTGGTCGCACCTCCACTCCATCCTCCTGCTCCTCCTGCTCCTCCTCCTCCTCCCGTTCCCCCTCCCCCGTCCCCTCCCCCAAACGCTGCACTGTAATACTGGGAGAACTCGCTCCCAAAGCCTCCAGCTGCTGCTCCTCCTGTGCTTCTGCCTGGCATGGTACCCACCCCCCCTCCTGCTCCGCCGCCTCTAGCCCATGCGGCGTCCAGGGATATTCCCAGGTGCTGGCACTGTTGCACAAACACCTGAAGGGACGATTCGGGAAGGGGGAGACACAGAGCAGCGAGCGCCGTTGGATTCACACCACCCACCCGGTGGATAGAATTGACTTTTGAGGCGCCTCCAAGGAATCACACCACCCACCCGGTGGATAGGAAGTTGTGTCATACGACCGTTTTTTAGGCGCCTCAAAAACGACCTCAATGCACGCCGTTGGATTCACACCACCCACCCGGTGGATGGAAAGTTGTTATATACCATCATAACCCAACATGGCCGCTATGTGTATACCACACACGTCCTTTGAGTTGACTCATTAGACACCATGTCTCTACCACACACGTGTGTGCCCACCTGCCTCTCACATGCAGGGCACCGAAGAAGCTAGCAGCGTTGGTGCGATCCAAAGAGTCGGCACAATTGAATCGCACCATGCCATGCTGCCGCCTCACCACCTCAAAGCTTCCCCCCAAACCACATGCTCTACTCTGCCTGTCCCACCTGCACGGCCCCAAAACCTTTTTAAGCTGCCTCACCTGCAGCGCACCGAAGAAACTAGCAGCGTTGGTGCGGTCGAGTGAGTCAGCGCAGTTGAACCGCACCATGCCATGCTGCCGCCTCACCACCTCAAACACCCCCCCCTGCAACCCCACGTTCCTAATCACCGCCTCCCCGCCCACTCCCCCTTCCTCCCCCCCTCTCGCATTCCCACCTACTGCCCCTCCCCCAACTGCCGCCCCTCCTCCAGTTATCACCTCCCCTGGGTGCCACCTCCCCAGGGTGAACCCGATCCCTTGCAGAGACACCTTAAGCCGCTGCCACAGCCCCTCCACAGTCGCCGCCTCCCCCACCGCCCTGGTCATCGCGTGCCAGTCGTACGTGAATAAGTCGAGCGACGCCGCCCGCAGCTCCGGGCGGCAGCGCGCAGAGCGGACGGCTTCCTGGAAGTGGTCGGAGAGAAGAAGCTCGGGTTTGCCGACCCCAATGCGGAGCAGGTTCACGCACACTATGGGAAACTTCCGGGGCGGCGGGAGGGCGGCGAGAGAGGAGGGATGAGAGGAGGATTGAGAGGTGGAGCGAGAGGAGTGAGAGGAGTAAGAGGAGGAGGGGTCAGAGGAGAGAGAGGAGGGGGAGTAGCGTCGTAACAACCGGGCAAAGTACGGAGCAATCCCTTCTGCCTGAGTCTCCGCTACGAATATCTCCGCATCCTGGATAGACGATTTGATCTCCGCCCCCCACCATATGGGCACTGTCCCCCGCCGCCATATAAACGTTGAATACTCCACTGGAGGTCCCGGCTGTCCTGGTGCTGGGGATGGGGATGGTGATGGGGATTGATAGGAGGAGGGGTAGGAGGAGAGGGAGGAGAGCGAGGAGGCGGGGGAGATAGAGGGAGAGGAGCCTGAGGAGAAACCTGGAGATGAAGAGGAGAGGGTTCCAGGTGGAGGAGGGACCCACACGATTTGCTCGCATTCCACCTCGTTGCCTGTCCCGGCAGCTGTGTTGATTCCGCGCGCCAGGTACCGCGTCCCTGGATGCAGCCTGCTCCGCCGCGCCAGGGACACCACGTGCGCCAGGCGCGCGTTCGCGTCGGAGAACGCGCGCAGCTCCGCAAACCCCTGGAGAAGTACCGCGCAGCCCCCCCCGTGCGCGCGCAGCCCCCCCAGCGCGCGGAAGGGCGCGGAGAGGAACTCGTTCCACGCGAATTCCCAATCCGGGTCCCATGGCGCGTGGGTGCTGGGAAATGGTCGCGTTATGTCTCTAGTCTCGCAGAAATAGTGCAAATCGGCGATTGACACGTCAGCTAGGTCCTGCACGGCTTTGGATTCGGATTTGGTTAGGGATGCGGCCCCGGAGGGGGATTTTAGCGGGATTTTGACCCATTGGGATTCGGTAACGGTGTAGATTGTATCGGGGCCGGACGGGAGGGATCGGACGGTGGCGCGGACGCGCGTCGCGACGAGGAGCAATCCGACGGTGTTGAAGGCCGCGTAGCCGATGAGCGCACGGCCGTGCACGGCGGATCGGACGGCCACGGTGTTGCCACGTGTCGCAGCGAAGAGCGCGTCGGATTCGGTGCGGAAAACGTCGAGGCCGGGACGGTTCGAGAATCGGAGAGCGCCGGTTACGGGATCGATGGAGATTAATTGCGTATTGGGGAGCGTGGATAGGGAAAGGAGGAGCACGAACTCGCCGGATTCGAGCTCAATCACATTCGCTCGAGTTTCGCGAAACGGCATCGCTGCCATGGGGAGGTGGCGGGGGGAAGGAGGCAGGGGGGAAAGGGGGAGGGGGGAGGGGGGAGGGGGGAATAAGGGAGTTGCAGGTCAAGCTGGCCACGAAGGCCGGCCTCGAGCTCAATCACCTCCGCGCGAGTCCCGCGAAACGGTGTTGCTGCCAAGAGGATGGGGGAGAGATGAGAAGCGGAAGGGGGAAAGGGGGAGGGGGGAGATGGGAGGGTGGAATCCTCGAAATATATTACAGAAGCGTGACTGTGCCGTGGAAAGAACAGTTTAACAAGGTTTAAAGAACGGCTTTTAAATTAACTACGGAAAGAGCGGAATGCGTTGCGAGCTATACCGTTACTAATGCCATTCAACAAGTCTTACATGTCCGCGTCGTCATATCGTATATATTTTCTTGGTAGATGCCGTAAAGGCTTCTTGTGTAAGACGGTTACGCTGCAAGAGTCCCGAAAACAGCAAAATCTGGCTTTGAAAAGCTGACGCTTAACTTCTCCCTCATTCAATCGATAGCGTCCAGAAGCTACCGAATCTCGCGCGTTCCGACATGAACTCTACACTCTAATGCCTTCACCAAAAAACAATTTGATTCTCACTCTATAGCTCCTCACACATCCTCCCACTGATGAATAAACTGAATTCTCGAACTTAGCGACGAAGCAACTTGCTGCTGATTATTCCGTAACGAGTCGCGTCCAAACTCGACGTTATCTACGTAAGGATGGAGCCAGAACCCCGAGATATAGCTACGGATTCGACTCCATTCTTCCTAAGATTTCTAGACTGAGCTATTGAAAGACTTGACATTACTTTTCTAGTAGATTGAGCTTCCTCACCGTTGAATCGAGCTTTTGAATCATTGATGAATCAGCAATGTACTCGACATTGCACGTCACTCAAGTTGTAATTTGGTAAGAGCACAAGCGTCACCTTATCCAGTACAGAGAACTGAGTACAGTCAGTCGCATGATGGTACTGTATGTACCTGAAGCAGATCATATGGCAGAACTCGACCGCGCTCTCCACTACCTCGTCAGCACTCCAACCGTTGGCCTAACCTACCACAAAAACGGAACCACGACTCCTAAACTAATCGGCTACGTCGACGCCGATCACGCCGGCGACTCCGATAACAGGCGTTCCCGCACCGGCTATATCTATCGCTTCGAACCTATCGGTCCTATCTCCTGGCAGTCGAGCAAGCAGGAATTAATCGCCCTCTCTTCAGCTGAAGCAGAATATATCGCACTCTGCTCAGCCACCAAGGAAGGACTGTACCTTCGCGAACTCCTGGAGGAAGCGAAGCTGGCTCAGTTACCCAGCTTCACTCTGTTCTGCGACAACCAGTCAGCAATTCGCATAGCCAACAAGAATGGCTTCGCGAACAGAACGAAACACATCGCCCTACGATATTTCTTCGTGAAGGACGAGATCGAGAAGGGGAGACTCGAGCTGTCATACTGCCCTACATCCGAAATGGCAGCCGATTACTTGACCAAGAAACTCGGAAAGCAGAAGTTCGAGTACTGCATGCTGCTGACTGGACAGAGCCACGTCACCAGCAGCGACACTCAAGAAGCGAAGAGGAGTGTTGGAAACATTTGATTTAAGCGCCCCTGTCGTGTCGAAACACCAAGACAGAAGCGAAGCACAACACATCGAAGCATTAGCGAGTCAACCCTCGGAGGTTGAGCAACTGCTGGAGGTTACGCGAAAGTCAAAGGTCAGCGACCTTTGACCTGACAAGTACAGCGCGACAGCAAGGACAAACAACTGACTCACTATTGAGCAGTTGCCCGAATCGTCACTGTATCGAACCGAAACAGCAACAGCAAAACAGTTATTAGTTATAACCCTTCATATTCCCTTGTACTCTTATAAAGCTTGTATCTCTTTGTGTTTTAATCAATCTACTTTTGCCCTCACATACCAGCGCAAGGTGGTTCACAACTCTTCATTAAACGCTTCCGCTATTACATCAGTCCTACCAGGAATTTAGTCCTGCAAAGATCCTAAGGGCTTTTCTCAGCCCAACATGGTGTCTGAATTGTTGCTAACGCTCTTGTTCCTTCTGCCTCAGGGATGGTGTGCGAGTACCAGAAGCCTTCGGGACTAAAGTCGGGGTCAAGATCCTGTGGATGTGTCCAGGAGGTGAAGGTGACGATCCCGTCGCTGTCAGCTGTGCCAAGGTCTGGGACGAAGTCGAGGACGAAGACGTTGTTCTTCAGAACTGCCTTGCCGATGTAGAGACCTCCTCTTCCGTGGTACAACTTGAACTCCTGAGTGGTGCTATCTGCTTCGAGGTGTATGCCCTTCGCCATCAGTTGACTGATGCTCAGTAAGTTGTAACCGAGCCCTTCTGCTATTAAAACCTTCGACATTTGCAGTATGACGTTTGTTTCTCGTGACTGAAGTTGCACTACGCCTTGTCGTTGTGTGCGCAGGTTCTGATTGTTGGCGACGGTGATGACGACCTCGCGTTGAAGTTGGTGTTCGCGTTGAACAAAGCGCCCTGAAGAGCACATGTGCTGTCCGCAGCAACTGTCCAAGAACCACGTGTCTTTCTCGGACGGCTCGCTCTGGGCGATGGCAGCGTAGATTGGGTTTGGCTCCAGTGTCTCGCGGCGAGGAGTTCTTTCTTCAAGTTGTTCTTCTGGTGAGTAATGTGGTGGCGATTCAGTGATGCAGGAGTCGGTCAGCCGTGCCATGCAACTGACGATGTTTCTTGTTCCTTGCGCAGGTTGTCCCGTCGATGTTGTTGAGGCTTGTACTTGAGTGGTCGGATTCGCTTGCGTTGAGGCGACTTGACTGCTTGAAGGGCGAAGTGGTCGCTGCGTTGGTGTTGACTGCTGCCGGTTTGGGCAGTGTGTACGGGGGTGACCTGACGTTTTGCAAGGGTGACAGAACGGAGGTACTGGTTTCGGTTGATGCCGGTTGTTGTTGTTGTTGTAGCGCCGTTGAGTGTGGAATGCGAATTCGGGCACTAATGCCTCCCTCTTGTGTCGTTCTTCTTGCAGGTCCATATCTTGTTGCTCAGCGTGGATCTCGGCGCAGAGTGCTGCTTCTGATATTTTTCCGTGAGCTCGGAGTATGGCGCGAGTGGAGCGCCACTGAGGACCGAGGCCGCCGATGATGACTGTGACGAAGGCGTCTTCTGAAATCGACCCTCCGCATCGAAGGACTTTATCGCGCAATTCGCGACAGCGGCTGATATACGCCATCCCCTTTTCGCCCGGTTTCATTTCGACTGTTGTCGGTTGCGCCATTAACCGACTTTGATTGACGCTGTCTGTTGCTTGATACAGGTTCTTCAGGTGATTGTACGCGAGCTCTGCAGAGTTGCCGTATCCCCGGTAAGACCGTATATTCTGCTACTGATTCGGAGTGATGCTTCTCAGCAGGATTGTGTACGCCATCATTGACTGATACGTGTACTGCTGCTTGTCGTACTGTGTGCCATGTGTTGGGTATGGCAGGGACCCGTCGAAGAAGCCAAGAATCTGCGCGCCTTCCATCATCAGCTCGAACTCGAATGACCAGGTAAAGAAATCCTTTCCGTCGAAAGGCCTTGTCGTTTGCAGTTTTAAGACGTGCGCGAACTGCGACTGAACTTGAAGTGCGTCCAGTGTCTTCTCTTGTCCAGATGCAGGCTGCGGGTGTGGCATAAAGCTGATGGAGCCGCGCTGGGGCTCGTACGGAGCGAAGGTAGGCTGTTGCTGTTGATTTCCACGTGCATAAGACGAGCCATCGAGACTCATGGGTGTCACGTTGTTGTTGTTGTTGCTGTTGTTTGACTGCGCAGGTACCCCTTGCTGGTGTTGTTCGTAGAAAGACATGAAGGAGAAGAACTTCTCCATCATGCTTGGGTCGAAGCTCGCGGCTTGGTTTGCGGGAGTTTCGGTAGATGTTGCCCTTGGTCTTGTTGCCGTACCCTCCTCTGTCTGTAGGCCAGAGGTAGGAGGTGGAGTAGGAGTAGTACCGGGAGAGCCGTTAGAGGAGCTTCTCTCCTTCTGCGTTGCCATGCCTTGTGACGTTGTGGGTGTCTTGATTGTAGTTGAATTTGTCCTGATAGCTCTCATGCCATGTTGGGCTGAGAAAAGCCCTTAGGATCTTTGCAGGACTAAATTCCTGGTAGGACTGATGTAATAGCGGAAGCGTTTAATGAAGAGTTGTGAACCACCTTGCGCTGGTATGTGAGGGCAAAAGTAGATTGATTAAAACACAAAGAGATACAAGCTTTATAAGAGTACAAGGGAATATGAAGGGTTATAACTAATAACTGTTTTGCTGTTGCTGTTGCGGTTCGATACACTGACGACTCGGGCAACTGCTCAATAGTGAGTCAGTTGTTTGTCCTTGCTGTCGCGCTGTACTTGTCAGGTCAAAGGTCGCTGACCTTTGACTTTCGCGTAACCTCCAGCAGTTGCTCAACCTCCGAGGGTTGACTCGCTAATGCTTCGATGTGTTGTGCTTCGCTTCTGT